AGGTTGGACTTCTCATTTGTGTAATCACAGAAGCGGAGATCAATTGCCTTGTCATAAACTCCATTTGCTTGACCTATAGTGTTGCCAACAAATGCACGCTCACACCGACTTGGATCAGTTGACAATGGAGGCAACCTCTATTGCAAAACAAAAACAAACAAAAAATCAATTTAGTACCCTTTCATAATCACAACTAGAAAAACTAGTAGGTTTGAGTTTCGTAATTTTCATCGTCATTTATTGTTTGGATGATGACATTTTGGCTCCACCTATTTGAATAAACGTGTGACATTTCACAAGAGCTGAAAGGAAACGAACTAAAGGAAAAGTAGACTTCACAAGAGATACAATAAAGTAGAATACTAAAAGTGGCAATGTAATGAAATTTCTTATGAAGCATCTTGACTTTCTACTCATACCATAAATGTTCCAGAAAAATAAGGATTTTGTAAAAGTTTCTGATACTTGGAATGCAATTGGAGGCAAGCTTCATAAAGTGAATTGAGATAGACTTGTCTGGTTCTCTACAGCTATTCCAAAACATGGTTTATTTCCTGTCTGCTTAACTTATTCATGACAGGCTTCCAACTAAGGCCAGACAAATTTCCTGGGGCTAGACAGCCAACACTCGGCACATTCGTTTTCAAGATGAGTTTAATTGGATAAAATGTCAGAGTAAAGGAAAGAACTTAAGGTTTCTAACTATCAAACTTGGTTGGGATGTCCACATATATTGCACCTGGTGTAAAGGAATCGGAGGGAACATGAAAACAGCTTTGCTTCATGGAGCTCTGTCGTGGTCCTCAAGGATTATTCATGACATTCAAGCTGAAGTTGCAGAAAAAGCGTATTTCCGATTCTCTTATTTAAAGAGAAATTTGTAACTTGTGGAATTTGTTTGTTACTGCTTAGCTGGTTGTATGTCCTAGTTTTGCTTGGTTTTTTACTAAACAAATACAAAGTACCATAAGACATTCAGAAGAAGTAAGAAAACTGTGACCATGTTATTAGATCTGTTCAACATGGGGCACTCAAATCTCCAATGCAGGCATTCCATTAGTCCACTAAGCATAGCATGTGAAAAATATACATAGATGGTGATAGGTAAACTAAGGCCCTAAAAAATAAAAGGGAGTAATGTAGGCTAAGAGTGTGTTTCAATTTTCAAACCTGACCAGCAGCAATTACAGGCGAGGCAGCAGTAACAGCCCAAACAGCAAGAATGCCACAAGCTACATTCTTAAGTTGCTTCAGTTGAGACAAGTTTTCCTTTAATTCATGACCATCCCTAGATGCTGCACGGTACAAAGTAATATCACGAATACGAGAAAAGAAATCCCTCCACTATTTGTTTGCAGAGGTTGGTAAGCAAAATCAAAAGCAACAGAAGTCGAAATCTATATATGACCATTTTGTTTTCTGATTCTGTAAATGCTTTTGGAAAATTGCTTTCTGGGAAGATAACAACAGAGAAAAGCAAGGCTTATATAAATCGTTTAAGATAAAAGTTTCCAAATTTAATTAACTGGGCAACAAACAACAGAATCAAACCCAGAACTTGGAACTGCTTTATATAACACAAGAACCAATCAAACAAATTTCATTGCAATTCAACCAACTGAACCAAAATTGAACATGACAAGACAAGAATGAGTAATGTGAGAAGAATCAGTGCGGAAGGCTCACCAGAGCAACACACACGCATAGGTGAGTGGAATTCTGGAACTGTGAAACAATGGCGTTTCGTTGGGGAGAACTGGAGAGAGAGACCATTGCGCGACAATGGAATTGAAGCAAGTGAAGCAGCCATTTTCGAAACAATGGCAGTGTGAGACAGACGATGGCGTCTTCTTATCCGCTATAGTTTCCGTAGAAGATCAAGATGACGTGGCATGACACGTGGGATCGTGTCTGACGCCAATGTATATTTGCTCCCGCTTTGGCCTTATCCCGGGTCACCTCACCACGGAATTGTCAATCTACTACATACATACAGGATACATACAGGTACAGCACACAAGGCGATAGAAACGGCATGTCGTAGGAGTTCAAAGTCGCAGTCAATAAACAACATGCCGGGCCGGCAGATAATATTCTTTAAAATTTACGTTAATTTATTTATTTGTATACGTAAATAGAAAAAAAGGAAAGAAAACACGGTAAGGTAAAATATGGTAAAAGGCTAGTTCCTAAGAACAAGGAAGGAAGGAGAAACGGTCGGCCTCCATTGTGTTGTGAATTGAATTGATCTTTTGTTGTTTGGTTGGTTGTATATTTGGGAATTGACTTTTGGTTGGGTCTCTTTCTCTTTCTCTGCCACTGCAAAAATTAAAGGCGATGGAGAGCCAGAGCCAGAGCTCGTGCTTATCGTACGAGAAGCTGAACGGGGTGGCCAGCTGGCTTGGGACCCACGTGGCATCGGCCTTCTTCGCATCGCTGGAGCGGTGCTCCTGCATTAACCTCTCCACCTCCGACGACCACGAAATGAACCCAGAAGAAGCTCACGACCGACCCCTCATGCTCTTCGCCTCTCGCTCCGTCAATCTCAGCGACCACCGTCCTCACTACCCTTCTTCCTCCTCCTCCTCCTCGGCCCCGAACGACGTCGTCAATCTCCCGGTGTGATGAGGGACAGACACGTCAGCATCCTCGATGGGATCGGAAAATTGGGTTCATTTTGTTCTCTCTAGGTTTTTTTTATCTTTGAAATTTTGGGTTTTGGATTTATTTCCATTCAATTTGTGATGTTTTCAGGTCGTGAAAGTCGAAATTGAATCGGGAAAATTGGGGGTTGGATTTGTTATTTGTGTATGATCGATCATATGCTTTTCACCCTGGATGTGATGTGTTGCTGTTTGTGTTGTTGCCTGTGACAATATTTTTTTAAAGTGTATTATATATAGTTAAAGTTAATGGGAAAATGAAGGTCTCCTCTCTCCTCTGATTTCTGTGTAATGGGTGTTGTTTATGGAGGAGGAACGAACAAGTTAGATTTGAATGACATGAATGAATCAACGTTCTCTTCTCTTAAAATGAAGCAGAATCTGACGTCAGAAGATTTGTTTTGTTTTGTTTTGTTTTCTCAAGACTCTTACCTACTATGAACTGTTGGATGGATTGGGTTTCGTGGACTGGTTCGGAGGGATGGATTGGGTTTCGTGGACTGGTTCGGAGGGATGGATTGGGTTTCGTGGACTGGTTCGGAGGGATGGATTGGGTTTCGTGGACTGGTTCGGAGGGATGGCTTGAATTTTCTTACCTAAACTCAAAAACAAAATGACTTTTTTGGGATTACAATAATGGATTAGTTAAGGAACCCTAGTACATGGCTAAACCTAAACAGGATAGCAAGGAGGAGTGACAATGATCCTATGTCGCTTTGTCGGGGATTTGCATTTAGATCTGATAAACAAGTTTTGTCAAGCTAATCACAAGATCCAGAAACTTTTCAATGGCTAATTGAATGTTTTGTTTCTGAATGTCCTTTTAGTGTAAGCTTGGTTGGTAATTGGTTGGCCAAAAGCAGAAGATGAAAGTTCAATAATTGATCCATAAAATTAATTTGTTTGTGGCGCTTTCGCTTTTACACTTTCCAGTGCTTCCACTAACGAATGTCCCTCGATAATTAGAATTAGACATATGCTATGTTCTCCTTGTCTCCTAATTGACTAACCTCTCTACCTGTAAACATGCCCATTATTTTCATCTTTCTTTCGCTTCATGCGCTTTTATCCTCCCAACAGTTTCTTCGTGCCTAAAAACAGGAATTGTATAAAGCATCACATCACAATGCCAACAATGCAAATATTTCGAGGTTTTTTTGTATCCACGTCCAACTTCTATTGTTTGTATTGCCATATTTTGTTTCAAGCACGAGCATGCAGAAAAAATTTCCTTTACAAATGAGAGGAAAATTGAAGTTACATTTTTATATGAATCTCAAAACCTATTCCTGTTAAGGTTAACAAAATCCTAACCACTCAGAGTCTAATCTAAGGTTATGTTAGACTACACTGACAGTGTAAATATACAAAGTTGGGAGTGCCCATCCTCCATGGACACGAGCCGCAATCATTCCCGTTAAGAGATAAATGTCTTCTCCGGAAGAGTGGTGGCCTCAGTCTCCAGCCCCTGGCTCAGAGGAAATGGCTTCCTCCACATTCCCACTGCCAACCAAAGCACACTGACCCTACCATGAGACAGACCACAAATGGCAGACAAACAATTCAATCATTCTGACCGGCCACCATGGTGGAAGGGTGAAAGTTCCCCACCATTCTTTTCCCAAACAAATTCCAGCCACCAGCTCTGGATACCCTATCCCATCATAGAGAACAAAAGAAGTTGTACAAGGCCCACGGGCACCTGCATTATATAGATATAATATCTCAATTTGGCCTTCTCCTAACAAATGACTTATATCTAATTTTGTGGACCGGCAGACCAAAAACATCCCACATTGATTAGAAATTATAATATCTAGACAAGCTAACCTCGGCCACTGGCTGGCTGACTCCAAATTGGATTGCACACTACAACCATGGAATTGCAGCCACTTGTCATGACATAAAATGGTCAGTCACCTCTGAAATCTGAGAAGGGTCCCATTGGAGAACCAAATGCACAAGTTCATCTATCCTCCACATGCCTGCTAGAGTTGTCAACCTGAGCCTGCTGTGGCTGTTGATGCTGCCAAACTTAATGTCACTCATCAATCCATTAGATTTGCATCTTTTGAAAACAATGCCAAAGGCCAAAGAGCCAAAGAGGGCACTACACATAAAGTGTCCTGCAAGGGGGATAGCTAAAACTCTTTTGAAAACCATGCCGAAAGCCACTATAGTGTCAAACAGGCACCGGTAGACCATAATTGTGGAATGATCTGATCCGTCCATCCCAGCCTGCAGTCACAATAACCATGCCCCATGCATGAGAACTGGATGTGCTCTGACAAGAAGTTTTAAAAAACTTGTACTCAGATCTGTGCATAGTAGATGGCTTTGCCAGTGGGCTTGAAGTTGGAAGCTTCTCCTCTGGCCAAGTTGCAGATCCTTTGGGAATAGACTCAAGGAAAGAATCCTGGCTGAGAGAAAAACATGCAGGTGAAGAGAAAGGCAGAGTCCCTGGTAACTTCCCATCCATGGCCTGAAATTGGCTCTCATTTTCTAAGGAATCACATTTGAAACCACACCAAGGTATTGCTATAGATACATTGGTGGAAAAGCGCTCAAAAGATCTGATCTTTTTTGCTTGAGAGAGAACATGTTCTTCCTGATTACCGCAGTTCCATATATATACATTAGAATCCTCACTAACTGAAACTATATGTTTCCCATCTGAAGTGAAGGTAGCAGATGTCTGGTTTCCTGCATTACGTTGTCCTGAAAGTACGAGAGACAAGGCTTAGAAGATGAAAAAGAAAACTATAAATTTCAAATTCAAAATCGCACAAACATATATTTGACATAAGAGTATTAATACATACTAACAATTACGTTATATTTGCTTACAATATGCACAGTGAACTGCCTCTAGAAAATCAGACTGTTGGAAAAACAAGAAACTATTATAACGAAAAATAGTTATGTGCATACCTGCATACTTGCCAACCACATTAAGACCATGAAGAATTCTGACTTGTGAATCGGCACAAGTGACCATCACTTTGCTAGGATTGTGTGGGAAAAACTGTGTAACATAACATACAATTATTGAATTTCAGGTCCCAAATGAAAAGGTTAATTGATATAAAAAGGAAACCAAAACAGAAACAAGAAAACAAAGCATTGAGAGAAAGTCATAACTCATAACTACCTGGAAGCCTGTAATCTTTCTGCAGGGAGACTTCTTTTTACTATGCAAGCATATTTGAGCATCTAATTGCAAATGATTATCTGCCCCAGAAAAACATAACCACTTCATCAGTACAAACATCCCCAAAATCAATCGATTTGAAGGTCAAAATGTGACACAAGTACAACAATTCTCTCATGAAAAGAATTTGAGATATTGTGATGCATTTTGTATTGAAAAATTTACACAAAAATGGGTTTGGAAATTTAAACATTGCAATTAAATATGATGAAATTACTCAACCAGCATAAAAAAATCTAAATTGAGCACAGACATCTAGTCAGTTCCTATGAAAAGGAGGCGAACAGAAGGAGGGTGAGGAATGCTGGTCACCTGATATATTATAAAATCTGCAATTGCCAGTCATTGAGCCAACAATTCCTCCCTGCACAAGAAATCGATAGTGTTTAAATAAACATTAATCTATATGTGATCATACATCAACATTTCTACACAATGGAAGGGCAAGAAAATCACCAAACCTGCCCATCAGGGCGATAGCACACTGCAGTAACTATATCTCTTATATCACTCCAATCAACAACTTGGCAGCAAGGAATTCCCCAAATGCGTACTTTGCCATCTATTGAACCACTGATGAAGTAATTATCATCCACAGGATTAAATTGAACGCAGGTCACTGCACAGCACCATAACATGAAGAAAAATTATAAGAGGTAGATTCAATATAATACAACAGAAGATACTAGAACTTTGCTTTTTCATATAATCATACAAACTAGCCAGAAGCGCACCATAATTACTATGGGAAAAGACTTTGAGGCAATGGTCACATCCCACTTGCCAGAGACGAACAGTTTTGTCAACAGAAGACGACAGAAGATACTGCATCCAAAACAACATGCCAAATTAAATTTCTGCCATATTTCACTAAAAACGATCAATATTTTCTTAGATTCCTAAAATTTTGCTGCAATTCAAATAATCACTTACATTATTCCTTGACCAAGAGAGATCCAATATATCACCATCATGCCCATGAAATTCATGCAATGGTTTCTCCAATATCCGAAAGACTTTAGGAGGGAAAATAACACAAGCTGAATCCGGTGTTTTCCTAAGGCTCCCTGATTTTTTATCCTTATCCGCAAATAGTGGATTTAGTTCAGAGAGATGATTCACTGTGAAGTAAATGCAGGATGGATCTATTTCTGGAATGTCATGTTCATTAGATCTCTCATCCTCCACCACGTTCCAGACTCGCACAATCCCATCTTCACCGGCACTTGCTAGGTATTGTCCATCAGGACTGAATTTCATTGCCAAAATCGCACCCTCATGAGCCTGGATATCTTGCCCCATGTAAAGAGCTGAAAGTTCCTTCAATCGCTTCCTGCAATGGCGGACTTTAACTCTCTGAGCCCTGTGCCCCACAATTGCATCATTTTCATTGTCTGTCAATTTATCAGCCTCCCCTTGCCTATCAACAAGGCATGACATGGACCGTAACCTACTCAACCACACCTTCTTAACTCTCTTCAGTATCCCAGCTCTATTGTGCACCTCCTCCACTTGATTTTCCATCAATTGTAGAGACAAGGAAGATGATGAACAAGAAGTGCGCTCAGACTCTTCAGCCACTTCTTGACCTTCACTTACTTTACCATCCTGCCCCAGTTCATCTGCATTACACTCCAATATCATACCTGGATTTCCACCTCTACATGCAGAATTATCCTTTGAACCCAACTCAATTGAGGAATTGGAGTAGCCATTACGCCAGCATGACATAGAAGACCGACTGAAACAAAACTCATCTTCAAAACGTGAGGTTCTCAACACAGCCCCACTAGTCTCTCGAATTCTTTCAACCTCCCCAGGAACATCACTAAATATGTCTAGTGAAGTCTCTCGAATTCTTTCAACCTCCCCAGGAACATCACTAAATATGTCTAGTGAAGTCTCTCTCACAATCTGATCTGAACTCAGTCCCATCCACTCCAGAAACTTAACCCTACGCTCCTTAACACTTCCGGGGCTTTGAACCCAAACCTCATATGGTAAACTAGGTGGAACCCAATTGATGAAGGAAGAAGTTGAATCAAATACCTCAATGTTATCAGAACTTGCATCAGATGTTGATGCAATATCCTCTTGGGCATCAAAAAACCCATATTCTTCTTCACTAAAGCTACCCATTATTCTTTGAGTTCAACCCATGAGATTCCACATCAAGAAACCAACATTTTAAGCCCCAGGCAACGTGCCAATATTCAATCCCCCTCCAGACAAGCAACCTTATTGAGTAAGAGTAACTACAAAATTAAAATAAAAAAACAAAAAACACAGAATCCAAGATCAGTTTAACAGAAATACTTGTTAAATTAAACAAGAATGGAAATAATATCAATAAAACAAAAACCAAGAGATCCAACATGGATCCCAATCCACACCCATTGAACCTGGTCTTCCACCACAATAAATAAAAAAATCACAATTTATTATGCAAACGGAGCCACAAATGAAAATTGCAATGAACCAAAATTTTCCAAAAACACTTCTCGGCACACAGAGAAAACCCCATTGGCAGAATTTGATGATCATATGATTACAATTGAATAAATGAACCATAAAAATATGAACGACAGAAATAATGGATGAAACAAACATACAATTTTGATTACATGAGTTTCGTGTCTATGAGATTCCTTTGCAACTGAAGAGGGCATAGATCGAAGCAGCCATACAAATTTGGAGCTTCCGGAACTCGCTCTCTCGAGGAAGCAAAGAAGCACTCTACAGAGAAATGCGAAAATAAAATAATAAGCAATTTAGTATTTATTTCAGCAACAACAAAAAAAAGTAGCCAAATAGCCAGGGGTAAAACCGGAAAAGGCACGAGTTCCTTGATATTCGTGAACGATGGCCCGAGAAACGAGATTTCGAGAGTAGGATGTGCTTGTGTCGTGTTTGCTCTCTCTCTTTCTCCCTCTCACTCTCGCTGTATCTCTGTCTGCAAAATAAAATGGTAATTTCCTCTCTTTTTTCTTTTTTTACTTTAATGAAATTAAATGTTTCGAGTACTTTAATGAGATTTTTCCGACCAAAAACAAATGAGCCGAGATTTTAGACTCCAATTTTCGTATAAGAAATAAAAGCAAATGACAATCGGAGACATGGGAGGTTAAGAAAATGAGTTAAATGAGCAATATTTCGCAATAAATGAAAATATAAGGTGTAAGATTTTCATAAGTTACTTCGGAATAAAAAAATTATTGCTTTTGTTGTTCTTGTAATCACGTTAACACGCATTAATAGACTACTTATGTAAGACACCATTGCTGAAATTTTCAAATCATAAACCTTATTTAAGATCTTTTTATATTGCAATCACACATTTTTATGCATTAGAAACATATATAACGTTGACTATCGCTTATACTTAAAAAAACATGCATAATCTCGACAGTTTTAAAGATTTACACTTATAAAAATGAAGTGAATATATACTTAATAAAAAGCCATTTCCTAAAGTTTAATCTTACAAATTTCCTTCTGAATTATTTATGTGATGACCGACCTTCATCTTCATGTGCATTAACAAAAATGCGCCATTGATGTTGACATGATTTATATAGTTGTTTGAATATTATATTAGCAAAGGGAAGCGGTGGATGGATCTTAGTCTTACTTTTAATATTTCATTCTATATGAATATACTTATAGCACCAATTCACTTTCCACTTGAAGAGGCGGTCAATGCCAAATTGTTTGACTTGGAATTCTAATTGAAGAATGGATGACTTTGCTTTTAAAAGGGAAAATCTTATATATAAATGAGCATCAAATAGCGAAAATTATGACCGTCCAATGAAGGATTGCATGTTAATGGTCAAACATGACCCTCATGTTGTTGTTATTATTATTTTATCCCATGGTGACATCATATAAATGTGACAATAATAAATAAGAATTATTAAACAAAAAGTTTTATTAAACAAAAAGTTTACTTAAGAAATTCCAAACTGAAATTACCATAGCAGGGCAATGGGAAATGGGCATGGGTTATGCATGGGTTCCAGGAAAATCCCTCCATCCACCATGAAAATGTTTTGTGTCCGGGTTTTCAAGTGTTTTAAGACAATTTGACGAGATTAATGTTGGAATTATTCATTCATTCCTGCATTCAAATGATAGCAATAGTAATTAGGGGAGATTTAAAAGTCAAAAAGTAAATTCATAACATAAAACAGCATCATGATTGTAAAATGACAAAGAAAGTGAATCAGTAGTAATTAGGTGGGTTTTGATTAGGTTAATGTCACCATTAGAGCCATACAAAGTCTTAAAAAGTCAAAAAAGTAAAAGTCGGCTTGTTTCCGTTGAACCGGGCAGTTTGCTTAAAAACTCTTTGATGTTGTGTCTCGTCTCTCATGTCATTGGCAGAGAGAGCTAGCTAGCTAGTAGTTGAGAGGTTGAGAGGTTGAGAGGTTGAGAGGTTGAGAGATTGAGAGAGAGCTAGGTAGCCGGCCACCCAGCCACCCTTTGTTTGTTTTGTTTTGTTTGCATTGATATCATCAATTTTCCGACTGACTGTCATTGCTGTCTTAATTAACGCGCAAGAAGGGAGCTTGTTTCAATTATAAATTTATAATTAAGCAAAGGCTGCCTGCAGCAAAAGTACGCAAGTAAAAGCCAAGAATAATAATAATTAAGGGTGATTAATGTCGTTATTATAGAAAACTTAAACAAATGGTAACTCTGTGTTTTTTCTTTTCTGTGATGGTGATCTGCAAAAGTCACACTTGACACCCAAGACAGAAACATGCAGACAGTCTTGCTTTTCTTTTTCTGCATAATAAAGTGAAGTGAAACACGTAAACTTAAACTAACCTTTCTTTTATATCTTTTCTTTTTGGGTTAAAAGTTAAAACGCTCTCGTTGATTGACAGCTTACTGCACACAATAATATTCTGTGGGTGGTTCCATTTCTGTTTGTTTGGTAATAATATATTAGGCAAATGGGCGTTTGTTAATGCCCTATCTTTCTCGCTGCTCGAATCAAGAAAAGGGTACATTGATACCAAGTAACATGCATCATGCATGAGCAAATAGTTGCCTCTACATGACGACATATTCTCTATTATTGAGAATATAAGCACAAAGTGTTGAATTAGACGAAAACATTCCTTGCATATATGCACGGCAACGGCAATCGCGTAAATAAAATTTGGGAATTTAACAACCAAAAATGTCACGTGGCGCATAATGCACAACTCACAAATAATAAAGTTGGTGTACCAGCAACAACAATCAAAATCTGGGTTTTAATTATTGGGTAGCCAACCCAACAGTACAAAGTTTACAACTCAAATATAACAAATAAATATATTTATAAAATAAAAAACCTGCAATTTTAGGATATGAGTTGTAAATCCAAGAGCCAAATTGCCAATTAATTAATTAATGTATTGGTTAATCAACAAATTAAGCATTTGATCGAGAAAGATTTCCCATGATATCGCATGGTGGTTTGCCTTGTAATTTGTGATTCTCTTAACGGTTGACCCTCTCATTCCCATACCATCATTTTATCAAGAATTTGGTAAGTATGCATGCATGCATGGCAAATTATGGGCGCGTGGCAACGTGTGCGCACTTATAATTAAAAAAAGGCACATGCAGAGTGCCTTATATTACTCCATAAATTGGCATGCCGACATAGATTAAACAACAGATATATTATATATGTTGTTGATTTCTTTTTTTCTCGTCAAGCATTGAATCATTGATGCGTGTGTGTCCGCCCGACAATTGATGGACTGACCTTTAAGTAATGGCTTCATACTATGTACAACTTTGGCTCTTTCTTTCTTTCTTTTTATCTCCACTCAGAAAAAGAAAAAAAAAAACAAACTCGATCATCATCATCTCTTGTTATAGATACATTGCAAGTACGTTTGAGCTAATTAATTAATGACAGAAATGCTTACTTGAGCAGGAAAAAAAGTTAAGTTTGTATTTGGTAATCAACTTAATTTGGTTCCATAATCATGATATTATCTTCATGAGTTTCTATTTGGTAATCAACTGGTTAATGCGGCTGCATCATGTGAGTATATATGATATGGACGAGTAGGGCAGATGCATGGAATACTTGTTTGTTGGGCTTCGTTCGATATGATGAATTAGTTGACTTTTGATATGAGCACAACATTCAAATTACAGATGCATGCAGGAGCCAAGAGCCCTTTCTTTCAGGCTTATCTTTCAAGAAATGAAAAGCACGAAAAACGTGTAGCGAAAACTACAATTCTACAAGTCACAAGTGCGATGTTGCAAGAGCTTGACCATTCATAGTAGCTACTTGTACCACGGCTTTTGGATTTTGAAAACTGAGTATTGTATGTACTATTATAATTTGTAGATAGAAATAGAATTAGATGAATGCATGGTTTTCCACCAAACAGGCTGCTGGTGGGGGTCTACGACTTCGAGTGGTTCCATTTCTATGCATAATTAATATTGTGTATTGTTAATTTCTAGGATGGGTACCCACTTTGTCTTTAGGGCATGCCTCCTTTACACTTTTCCCCTCCATTATTTTACCCACATTTTTGTTTGGGAACGAAAAGTAACAAATCTAAGGACAAGTCACAACTTTGGATGGTCCAAAAACCATCAGACTATATATATTTGCCAAATGCAACGGTGATGATTCTATATGTTTTTCATCATGCAGGCAAAGTTAATCAATTAAACTGTTAATCTACAGCACGTATAACTTTCTAGTAATTTGATTTTTTGTCTTGTTACACATATAAAATTATCTTGACGATGACGTGTGGGTGATTTATGACTATCGATAAGATGCTGATGAAGTTTACATAGATGAATGGTCAGAATTCCACTAACCCTAGCACAACTATAGTCCAATAACCATTATGATCAATTCTTCTGCTGAGCACATGAAAAAGCTTTAAATCCTTCATCTCGGGATTGAAGCTCTGGTGGAAAATCTCTGGTAGCAGATTCTACCTGTTGGCTGGACCTGGACCTTGTAATTAACAGCAAATATATATAAGTACACAAAACTCAGTTCATATATATAGTTCTGATAGGACCACAGTTTTGAGGGTACTAGCTGTATCTAAAGCAAAATCTGATGGTAGCAGTCGCACTAATTTGTAGCAACAAAATTAGTGAATGTGTTGTGTACATAGGACCACAATTGTGGGGATGGCAGCAGCAGAAAGCCTTAGGCAACTACCTTCTCTCTGCCTCTTTTGCCAGCTGCTACTGCTGTACGTGCTGTGGGTTACGGTAGCTCCTGATTTTGGACCACCCTAGTCTAGCTACAAACAACTCTTCTTCTTCTTTTTCTGAAGCAGAGAAGAAGTGGTCCTCTTAAACTTGATTAACAAATGCGAGGCAAGTGTGTGCTGTTTGGGCTGGCAGTCCTGAAGCTGCCAAGCCTGCTGTGTTCATGTCATGGCTCTGCGGCCTCATGAATTTCTTCACACACTCTCTCTCTCTCAACCACCATAATCATTTACTTGCTTAATTGCCTTGGGTTGTGTTGAGGATGCCAATAGCCATTTTCAACTTTTCAGATCTCTGTCTTCTCTTCTCCAAATGGACTGCTTGATATTACGAGAAAGCATTTTGTCTCGGATTCTTTCAAAAATAAAAAATAAATAAAGGAAGAAAAAGAAAAAATTGAACCCGACGTGAATCGAACACGCAACCTTCTGATCTGGAGTCAGACGCGCTACCATTGCGCCACGGATCCGATGATATGTTGTAGCTGCGTAGTGCTATATAAACTGTACGGCATGGACTTTTTGGTATTTTAACCTACCAACTATGGGGGCTTACACCTTGCTGGAATTATTTATTAATGAGCAATGATGTAAAATGGGCTTTAGGCCATTAGGCCTACACTTCCTGAGCCCATGTGGCAATTTGGAGCAATTGTTTTTCCACAAAAGGTTCTAATTTCGATTCCTAACATCTGTGTTGTGCGCGTGAGTTTAATATGCTATCGCCCCTCTCAATAAAAAAAGTGTTCAATTAAAGAAGTATATATCAAAATAAACACATGATACTTACTTATTTCCAAGGCAACATGCATGATTTTTTTTTTCTCTGGGTAGTATGATTGTAGAGTAGTAGGTACGAGAAGTCAACCTTGTAAAAATCGATGCACAGTTTAGGCCATTTTCAAACCTTCAAGATTCAAGCCACCATATTATTATTATCCAAAAATTGACTGATATGTCTGCGTTGCCATTTTAAACGAAGGCACTCGCTCACATTTCCTTTTCAAGTTTCTCATTTCAGAACTTTGAATTTAAATAAACCCAAAATTGTGGTCCAAAAAAAACTGTCATGAGTATACAATTAGCCTGTTAGCGGCCCCGTAAGCTTAATTTAGCTTGTTGGCAAAAAAGAAAAAGCTTGATTTAGCTATGGTGAAGGTGAGTGGGTGTTGAATAACTTAAAATGGGCTAGACAAAATGCTCGGTTGGATATTCATTCTCATATCCATTGTAATCATAATACAATCGCTCCCCTTTTGGTATGTCTCTGTTTGCAATCAGTAAAACCCGACTCTCACCATTGACATCATATCTTACACATTTTAGGTTCTGCTTCTTTCTCCCATCCCTGCACCAAATTTCAGTAACTTAGATTATATTGGCAAAGTGGCCAGCGAGACAAGGTTGGAAGTAATATACATACAGAAGGCAGAATATAAAACTTCGGAATGGAGGTGAGCTTACGGTGTGTGATTGTTGATGCCATTGACGAAGCGGGCAATGTTACCATGCTTGTCAGGACAAATGAGAAGGCTTTTTGAAGGGTTAGCAGCTGAAAGCAATGTCATCATGCTATCCCCATCATCATTTTCACGGTTCTTCAAGTAATCTACATCTCCAGCATATTCTGTAATTATTGTCAAATCCCTGATAAATTTATCAGCCTCTACTGTGAACCTGTGAAAATCAAGTAACTATACTGAATCAGGGACTCAACTGTATCAACCACCAAGAGAAAATATTTGTTTTTTCATAAACTCACCCCTCCTGGGGATCAAAAACAACCATGAGGGGTGGACATTCTCCTCTATCCATCATGCTTTTGCACAAATTCAAAGTTTCAATATCTTCTTTCGACAAAACCTGCAAAGACAGTATTGAGATAATCAGTTATGCCATTGTCAATGCAAGCCATAAGACAAATGTACTTTTTGGATCACCCCTCAAATTCAGAAAATCAAATATCATATAGTAGGACTTCTCTACCAGAATAATCAGGATATGTCTAAACATATAACATCAATCTCTAGATGTAACTTACAGATACATGAAAATAACAAAAGACATGCTGTTTCCGGAGTCATGCTTGCAAGTGCTAATGTTCAGTCAATCCCAGTGGTTAAAATGCAATCTTCTATCATGATACTGAGCTTTTGTTGACACATACTCTGATCATTCCCTGGTTAAGTAACATTGAGACCTCATGCAGAGCTCTGGACACTGTCCACATGTTTTTTTAACTTATAAGGAACTTCACAATAAAAGGGCAGTTGAGGCAGAATTTCAGCACAATTAAATCAGCAGAAGACCATATTTCAGAACATAAATATACGCTATTGAAACTAACATAGTCTCAATCCCAGCAATTCAGTTCAAATCCACCAACACAGTGAATTCTACACCTGTCCTAATTGGTTAGAGAGAGAATTCACTGTATTCTATTAGCCCAACCAACAAGAAGACATCCACACGTGAATTGAAACATTATTATTGGAGAGGTCACTGTTTACAACATACCTGCATTCCTCCTTGCTCAAGAACTGCACAATTGGCCGACCTGGGTGCCATTCTAGGCCTATAAGTAAGCTCATTACTGAACTTAGTCCCAGTGGCAGTCAATGCTGTTGCTAGTGACGCCATTTGTTGCATTCTCCTTGTATGATCCTCGGTGGGACTAAAGGGCAATAATCTCCTTTTCTTTTTGGACATCACCAGGCTGCTTGCCCGCCTTCGCCTCTTTCGGTTATCTATAAAAGTAACAAAATATACAGGACCAAGATGTACCCAGTTATAAACCAGCATAGACATATAAAGAAATAAACCCTTCGAGGATTCCATAAATAAAAAATGAATATGCATCCTAATAAACTGTTTTTCACTGGCGTTTACCTTGATTTATCTTCTGGAGTGAGTCCGCAGACCTCTTAATCCGAAAAAAATCACTAATTTTGGTCTGATGGAGAGGGAAAGCTGTAGCACACAACGAGAAAGGCAATTGAATCAATAGAAGAATCAATCAAATCTGAGCATTTCAGCCTCCAAACAAATCAAGCAGGTTAAATTGAAAACCCAAATAATAAAAAAGAAATACAATTGGAGTATAAGCCTACCCACAATCCCACATTCAAATCACCCATAAAATTTAGTTCAACAAAAACCCCAGTAGTTAGCTAATGAATCTGGACAGAATAAATACCGAAAATGGGAAAAAATATCAACCAGGAACGTACACTTGGGCTTTTTGTTCTTGGAGCAACAAGGGCCAAACCACTTTCCTTTAGGCACGTGAACAAGGATGGGTCTCAGGCAAAACAAATGGTACCCTCTGTTACAGTTACAGCCGTCGCACAGAAGCAGCTCGGCCGGAGATTCACCTGACCCACACTCCTCGCAGGAAACGTCGCCGTATTCAGAATCCGAAGCACTATCAGAGTCATCGTCGACTATTTGAGAACGAGAAAGAGGCTTGGGGGCTTGAGTTCTTCTCCCCAGCACCACCATATCTTAATTCTTGCTGTCTGACTTCTTTTTTTTTTTTTCGGCCTTTACGGATTTGGTTCCTGCGATGTTGTTGTGCCTATTTAACCAATGGGGCGCATTTCGCGCGCTAATTTCGGTTCGCGGGAAATGATGTTGGCGCCACCTTGGGTCGTTTCGTTAATTATTTGGCGCCACTGTTTCCTGATGGGCCGGGTTGGGTCTAGTCCAATAAGCATGTGCGGGATTGGGCTTGGGCTGAAAATATTTAAACCCATAACTAAGTGACCCAAATATTAAAGGAAAAAAAACTACGCCTTTACAGCAATTGCCCCTTTATTTTTTTTATTCCAATTAATATTTTTTTTTTTTTTTTATTTTTGCAAATACAATTATACAATTTTGTGCTTACCTTTAGCGAACCCCAATTAATATTTAAAAAACTCTTCATATTTTCACATAAATTAAAAATAAAAAACCAAGGCAATCTAAGCTGAGAGAGAGAGAGGGGAGAGATACCTCAAATCCTCAATGAGGGCTCATCGACATCGTCTTCGAATCCATTGCGGCAGCTCTTGGAAGATTTCTCCATTTCCGATCTATTCTATCTGCCTGCCGCCAAGATAATAAATTTCTCCGCCAAATAAATAAAATGCAGGAGCCGATATTGAGAGAGAGAGAGAGAGAGAGAGAGAGAGAGAGAGATAGGGTAGTTTAGAGATTGGATGAGAGCGAAGTGTGATGTGAGTGAGAGAGGTTGTGGTGGAAATGCGGCGGCCCAAGGCCGACGAGAGTACCCGAATTGGGTTCGAATCGAAGGGTCTGGAAAATGAAAATAGAAAAGGGAATTTACTCTTGTGAAGTTTGCGTTTGTAGCCTACAGTGACCAATGACCGTGGAAATGTAGCCTACGTGGCGACTCCAATCTCCTACTTCCTTCCTACCTCTATTCCGAGCACTAGTAGTAGTAACCCTTGAAATAATTGTACTTGGTCAATTTATTGAGCCTAATTTTAAGTAATAAAAATATTACATAACAAAAATATATAAATTCCTTACATAAAAAATATATATATTCTATATTTCATCTAAATAGTTATTATTTCTAAAATTATGTGAGAGTGAGAATTGTGAGGAAAAAAATTGCATACCATATCGTCATCATTACCGTTATCTCTATTATTACCATATTGTCACCGATATTTGATAATTAATCCACGTGTGATGTATAGCTATGTGTAGAGGCTTTTTTCTTCCAGCAGCTACTACAGGCATAGGCTGCCGTAAATAGCAAAATGGAAGAAATTTCCCCTTGAGCCTGAGTTCAAAGATCAAACCTCAAGAATACTTCGAAAGGACAGAGATGCATTAGGAAACACCTTGGTTATCTTCACCAACGAAAATAACACCAACTTACATATAAATTCTTGGCTTGGCATGAGAAGCTTGTGGTATGTGAGCAAAATTGTCATGAGTTTAGCACTTAAGAGAAAACTAAGTGTTCCTAGGGGAAAGATGGGGTATTAAGGTTGGAGAGAAAGGATTTTGTAGAGATGTTTGGTTGAGCATGAGGAAAAAGAGAGAAAAATGTAGCTTGAGTGTTTTTCCGGCAGCTTGACAGAGACTCTGTCAAGTGTTAGAACAGCTTGCCAATAGGGAAAACTAAGGGAAAATGATGAGCTGAGTACAAAATTGCTGGGTTTTTGGAGTAAGAGATGAAGCTTGCTCTCTGATGTAGTTGATGCTTGTTGGGTAGAAGAGGCCCTATTTATAGTCACTGAAAGTCATATTTTTCCAAGAAACCCTAATGGCTTCTATCCCATCTGGCCAAGTCTTTCCCTTTCTTTCTCCCCCCATCCTTTCAATCATCCTATTTTGGTGAAATTTCTTCTGCCCATTTGCACAAAATCAGGGATTTTGGGAGCTTTAGGCCTTTTCCTGCAGCTGTTTCAGTGGGAACTTCCATTTTATGCCATCTGCCTTTCTTTTTTCCTTCCCTCTTTCAAGGCTAGGTCTGATGAGGGAAAGAAATGGGTATGCATGCTGGTTCAAAGGGTGATATGCGCTTCAATATCCCTTGGTCATTTGGAAGTTTTTGCTTGAAACTTGTTCCTCCCATGTGATGGAGCTTTCCAGCATATATTTTGGCTTTCAACGTGGCTTTTATTTTCAACTGGGTGTTGATGGTTTTGCAGGTCTTTATTTTATTTATGTGGGCCTTCTAGAACAATAGATTGACTTATCAAATAAATGGGCCAACTTCACCAAAGTTTGGCTTGAGGTGTTGGGCTTTTTGGTTAAGTCAATAGGCTATTTTGGTTGTGATATTTTCTCTTTGTGCTCACCCACATGTTTGGGGTTAAGAAATAGGCTTGGGTTCCGAGGCTCCCAAGCAACCGAGAACCTCCATTTCTCGGCTCATCAATGGGCATCATGACAACTTATTACCATTCATACCACAACCTACTCAAGCAAGCCCCAGGCATCTTGCGTGACTTAGGCCCACTTAAGCTTGTGGCGTGATTAGGTGCAGAATAATTCCTTACTTGGCATGACGTGTTGCTTGGCATGGCATGTGTGCAAGCGCATATGATAAACTTTCGTGTGCCCAAATCGGGTTTCTTCTCGATAAAGTATCGTATTGGGCCGAAAATTTATTTGGGCCGAAGCGTGGATTTTTTGGGCCTCAACACTATGATCACTTGTTGATTAGTAGTTAGCCGGTTATTATATTAGTAGTTAGACAACAGTTTATTTTGCGCGTCAATATTGGTTAGTTTGTTAATCAGTTTATAAGTTGGTGATTATAATGTAATTAGGGATCGATTAATTTGTACAAATTGAATTGGCCCCAAATAAATAACTATTTATGCTATATGCGAGTACATGTTGAGGATAGTATGGGATTCTATCATTAGTATGCTTATTGTCCCTTACAGTGTATGACTTGAGCTTCTATCAAAAAATCAATGGAGACTCAAGTGCATATAATTTCGCTTCCTATTTTCCTTACTCGAAAATTTCCCTTATACTTTGCGGGTTGTCATAATTTTGAATCAATCTTATTTTACTTTTTAATACACCGTCGAGATAAAAGAAAAATCCATGATTGGATGATCAACTAGTTCTTGATTGTTTTTCTTCTAAATATTGAAAAATTCGATCAGTGGGTGCATTTAGCAAGGGAAACAAAAAAACATAGAGCTTACTTAATAGTTCGCTTGATCCCCATGCCCATGCCCGGGACAAAAAGGGCCTGACCCAGGAAAAACCCAACCTCCGTCAAATTGCGAGGGAGGAAACTAGCTCAACTTTTTCCATGGATCCCCGATATCCAAGGCCCCTCAAAATCCACCTAGTTTCATCCACCGATTCTCCCGAGTTCACAGATTTAACTCGGTTTCTGACGCGTTCCAGAATCATTGCGCTCGATGCCGAGTGGAAGCCCATCCGCACCCTCCAGTCGTCTTTCCCAACAGTCTCTCTCCTCCAACTCGCCTGTCAACTCAGCAGTGACTCGGGCGAGTCAGATGACTCAGTCGTTTTCCTGCTCGATTTGTCCTCCATTCCTCTACCTTCAATCTGGGAATTACTTAGAGACGCATTTGTTTCCCCCGACATTCTGAAACTGGGTTTTAGATTTAAGCAGGATTTAATATACTTGTCTTCCACTTTCAGCTCACAAGGATGTGAACAAGGGTTTGACAAGGTAAGAGCTTTAAATTTATCAGTCATGGACTGCTAGCTTGCTGGAAAAATGCGGGAAATGAAGGGAAAGTTTAACATCAAGCAATTTTCTTTTTATATATGCCTCTGTTTTATTCATTTCACAACTTTTGCCCATGAATGAAAATAATCACAAGCTTTTGCTTGGGTGATAGAAATGATTAATATGGCAGTAAAGTAATTGAGAAATTTTAATCAAACATGACCTTAACTTCCCTTATTACTCACAATCTAGTAACTTGAACTTATGCGGAATTGTAACCTGGGTTTGGATTGGTGAAGGCTAAGTTATAATTCTCAAACTGATTTATTTATGGCGTAGAGTACTCTGTTTCTGTGAGATGTTGAGGATATGGCCTCGTAGAGGGCTTGTTTCGTAGAGGCTCAGTTGATATTTTCATAAGAGGATTCTGTTTAAAGTTCACAAATTATGGTGAACAGGTGGAACCCTTTATGGATATTACGAGCATATACCATCATCTGCAGCACAGTCAACCTGGAAGGAAGACGTCAAAGAATATCAAGAGTTTAGCAACTATCTGCAAAGAAATCCTAGGCATTTCTCTTTCAAAGGTTTGGCTTCTCAAGACCTTTGCTATGTTCATTCGAGTACCAAGTGAAGTTCCTATTTTGCTATGCGATGTAAAATTTTAGACTTTTAACTGCATGAGGGAGTGATGGGATGGGTGTTCTTACTTCCTATCAAAATTTGTTAATGTAACATCTCTTCTTTAGGAACTTCAATGTAGTGATTGGTCATGTCGTCCTCTTACAGAAGAGCAGAAAACGTATGCAGCTATTGATGCACAGTGTTTACTTGAAATATTTAATGTCTTTCAAGCCAAGGCCATCAAGGAAGGTCTGTCATACTAGAGATTTAACACACTGCTTTTTTGAAATACAACCCTTGTATTTTGTTATATCCTGTTAGTTATGGAAAGTTATTGGAAATCTAAATTGCAGGGAGCTTGATTCACAGTCCCACTGAATCAACCGTGAATCTTGGGTTGAAAGAGGTTCTTGAGAAGCTTGATGTATGTAATAAAATTGTAAGGATGAAATTCCGTGAAGCTTTGGATATAGTCCGAGCTACCACTTCTTATATTTATCCTAATATAGCTACAGAAGAGGGAATGGCTTTGAGGACGCGACCTAGGAATACGTTGCCTATGGATGAGTTACTCGTGAGGGTTGTAAACAAATATGGGGAGGAAATTTTGTTGAAAGAATCTGATAAAAGGGCCAGAACTAGCAAAAGAAAATCAAAAAGGCGGTCATCAGTGGGTTTGATTTGCAAAGAAAAGCAAGGACAGAGTTTTGAAGATTGGCAAGGTCCACCTCCATGGGATTTGACCTTGGGCGGTGATGGACACCCAAAGTTTCTCTGTGACGTGATGGTAAGTTTTTTCCTATCTGTTTATGTTTTCTTTGCTCTTATTCATTTAACTTTTTCTTTGTCTTACATGGTTGATGCCGATTGCACATGAAAAAGAGTGATCGGCAATTGAACTCCCCATCCCCATCCCCCTCTTTCTCTGTTGCCCTATAAGTTAAGAGTTATTCTAAGATCAAAGAGTTTCTGCTGCTGAATTGTGATACTTGCTTGCTCATGCTTATTCAGGTTGAAGGCTTAGCTAAACATTTAAGATGCGTTGGGATCAATGCTGCAATCCCATATTCAAAAAAGCCTGGACCCAGGTATTCTGATGATTGTGCTCTTATATGTTAAATATCTCGTAGAGTTTGAATATGTTTTAACATCTTTTGAATGATTGTATTGAGGTTTCATTTTATGCAGGGCGTTAATAGAACAAGCAAACAAAGAGAAGAGAGTGCTGTTGACACGGGATGCCAAGCTCCTGCGACATGATTATCTAATAAAAAATCAAATCTATAGGGTAAAGAATCTTCTCAAGAATGAACAGCTACTCGAGGTATGTCTGTGTTCATTTTGAAAATTCTGTACCTTATAAATCAAATTACATATACATACCATGTTTGGAAACTACTTCACTATTTCGCAATCATTAATTTAAAAAATTCATAAAACATTGCTAGTGATTCATGGTCCTTCAGGTTAACTTATATAAAGATCTCACTACCTAGAGTCTAGCATTAGATTTAATGAGGCTGTAATTGAATATTTTAATCTTGACAACTTATTATGATTAATATAAGCATGGTGGGTTTAGCTTAGAAAGTTTAAATTACAAAACTAAAGAAACTTAAGAATTTATGATGAGTTAGTATCTGATGAAGATGTGATAGATATGTTGAATGGGACATCCTAGACTCCTAGTTTGTGTTTAGTTTTGGAAGTGCATAGGTAATACTGATACATATTCCTAGATCATAACATTTGAAGAAGCGATTAGAATGTTGAATTTTTGTTAACAGGTTGAATCTGATTCTGAAGTGTATTCTTGCAGATCATTGAAACTTTCCAGCTTAAAATTTGTGAGGATCAGCTGATGTCAAGATGCACCAAATGTAATGGTAGATTTATTCAAAAGCCCTTGACGACTGAAGAGGCTGTTGAAGCTGCGAAAGGTTTTCAAAGAATTCCTAACTGCTTGTTTGATAAGAATCTAGAGTTTTGGCAATGTATGGACTGCAACCAACTTTACTGGGAGGTATGTTTATCAATCCTTTCCTTCCTCCCTCTCTCTGTCTCTGTCTCTGTCTCTGTGTCACTCTCCACTATATGGTGCTGCATGTGTGGTCAGTTTGCATTCTAATTAAAACCTGGAAAAGCAACATGCGCGTTTCCATTGTTTACAAAGGAAGGACCACATGGACACTAAACCAAATTATCTTGTTTAAAGGTAATAGATTTGATAATTGACAGGTGATAATGAGAGGCTGTGTGATGGCTTGCAGTCATCTGAGCAGAGCTAATTGCCCATCCTTGGGCCTACAATGAGAGAGATTTATGTTTCTCTCTCCCCCGTAAACTCTTTTGAGTTGTAGATTATATTCAATTCATGTGCTAAGCAAATTATAAATGATTTGATATGTTGTCCTTTATTTCTTCGGAAAACCGCTGTCAAGAGTTTTGATATAGTATGACAATTCATTGTTGAATAGTGTTCTTAAAAAATAATTTTTTGTTGTTACAGGGAACTCAATACCACAATGCAGTCCAGAAGTTCATTGATGTTTGCAAGTTGAATGAGTAAATTAAAGTTCATTGATGTTTGCAAGTTGAATGAGTAAATTGAAGTTGATAATCATTGTGCACTAGTCTGTCAGTGGCCCATATGTTGCCACTCACCCATACTTTTTCATATCTTCCCCTTGTACTTTTTTATAATTTTTGGGGGTGATATATTCATGTTGAACTGTTTTGAAGTAATATATGTTGTCATCCATATAAATGCCTAAAAAAACATGCCCCAACTCTGTTTTGGTGATTTGAATTTGATGATGATGCACATCCAATTGGTTGGACCTTTCATTTTGTTGCGGAAATGCTGTCGGCTAAAATTAGAAGAATAGGAATAGAAAAGATTAGGACAGATTCAAGTTGAGAGGGGGTAGAGCAACGAGCATGCCTTTCTCTTGTGTATGTTCAAATATATTTTTATCAATTGTCCTCCTTTTCCCTCCCTGTAGTTTCAACCTGTCACATGCCGCAAAATATTCACTCATGCCCCACAATAGATAGAAGTCAGCTTGATGAAGAAAAAGTATAGCTGCTGCTAAATTTGAGATTTTGTTGGATGCTTAAATGAAAGTAGGGGACAAATGCTCCTGAGTTAACGGCTTTTAATGTATAAATCGTTTTCATTGTCAAGCAGGGAATGTTCGGGGCGATGACTATCTTGATCATAGAGTATGTAATGCGAAGCATAGGCCAGACTTTTGAAATTTCTTGGTCTGCCTTCTAGAATAAGCATAGGCCATTTAACTTGCTGGGTTTGCTTTGCTATGTTAATTAATAATTAATCTTATTTAGGACCTCAAGTTATCTTTAAATGTGTATTCTGTAACTTTTTGGTTGGGTAACCAAGTCACCATTAGTCACCATTAGTTTTTATAATTGGCTCAGTAATTTTTTAATAATTAATTGAAAAGCAGTCGGTGTTAGGCAAAGCATGATTCAGATCAGATGAAGATATGGTAATCTTACAAGAACAAACTACTTACTTTGGCGAGAGGTGGGGAGGAGGAGGAAACTTCATTGCGTCATATGGATAGGCTCTCATATGTCCATGAGTTTAACTATAGTTAATTCTTATTTTTTATTTATTTGATAACATTACTATGAGAGAGAAACAATACTTCAATAAGATTTTTCCTGATTTACCCTTATTAACCTAGCAAACTTTCCACCTTTCTAAATTAATTAACAACTACCCAAATAAATAATTGGCAATTGGCTTTATATCCCGTGCTTTAATATGAATATCAATTCACAGGCTTCAATACTTTGAAGAACACACCCAGATACTTTGAATCTCAATTGGCTTTAGTTAACTCTTTTTATACACGCCCAAAAGTTACACTGTTCTTCAATATATTATTACGTTGCAATTTCTCAATATTCTTGAACCTGTTTTCTTTCTTCAACCGATGAGTTAATTATGATGTTGCAAGTTTTGGACTAATTAATTCTGGTTTTATTATTCTAAATAAAGCTTACTCCATAGGAGCAAAATATATTGGAGTTGCAGAAATTCCAAAAACGATGAAGGAACCAAGCTCTGCAATAATACCCTTCATTGTCTCATTCCTCTGGCTCTGCAGTACGGTTCATTCTATCATTCCTTTCTATGCTAGTCTTGATCCACCAGTAAAGATGATACCAACATCATGGACTAAAAAAACTAAATAACGCAGAGCAATCACGAAAGTATAAAAAATAATCAAGCAATACAAAGTACTATAAAAAATAAAAATAAAAAACAGCATAGATTATTACCTATCTTTCACTGAACAAATGGAGGAAGCTTGCAATTGAAGATCAGCATAGATTATTATTTGGGGAGTTGTTAATTAATTTTAAAAAAGTGGAAAGTTTGCTAGGTTAATAAGGGTAAATCAGGAAAAATCTTATTGAAGTATTGTTTCTCTCTCATAATAATGTTATCAAATAAATAAAAAATAAGAATGAACTATAGTTAAACTCATGGACATGTGTCAACTTTTGGGAGGGGTGGTGAGGGTACACCTAGGGTTAAGGTGGTGAGCAAAAATGCACCCGGCTCTCATCTCACCTCACTCACATGGTTAATATTTGAATGTTCATTGGGCCCCACCCGTTTATTTTGCTTTTTTGGCGGTGGGTCCACCTAAGTTGGACCAGCCTAGAGGTTCTTTTTCTTATAGAGACGGTGAGGCCCAAAGATGGAATGCCTTCTTTTCTTCTTAATGAGGAATGCCTTCTCTCTCTATGCCTTCTTTCTTGGTCGGTTATGTATGGAAGTTGTAACCATTAACATAGCCAAAATTGGGCATTTCAGGACACTGGATTTGAGATTATGTCTGCAATACAAATTAATAAATAAAGTAAACACAAGTTATTGCAATGTATATAATTTAGGTGTCATAATATGCGTGAAATATATAATTAATATGTTATGGATCATGTGTAGGTGTGTCCCTCATATTATGGGTGCGTAAATGTGTAGACGCGACCCCACTGCTCCTTCCTATCAAAATTCAATTCAATCATGTTTCATGTCCGCTGCACATATGCAGTGACGCCACCCAGGGAAGCATTGCTCTTCTTCCCTAAGTTTACTTTACAGAGATGAAACAACGACAAGTCGTATGGCAGACAATGGAATGGGATTGTAAACGCGTGACGTATGGGAGTTCGACTAAAGTCTCATTGTGGTCAGATAATCGTACGGCAGTTAGGAGTGAGCGAGAGAGATGGACACCGCCACATGCGCACGTTCATTATTACAATTGCTTTTTTTCTTTATTATTATTGTCGATTATTTATTTATTTATTAAATTGATGGGATGGAATGGAAGTATGGATAAAATGGAAGCACCGGCGCGGTGCCCCAAATATTCTCTCTAATTCACCGACACGTTTCGCGACCACATGAGCTCTCATATGGTGGGCTCCCATCATTTTCTGCCACGTGTCCACTGCTTCCAGTCCTTCAGCAGTAGTCGCCCTGCCGCCGTCACCGTTTTCTGCAGAAATGGCTCAACCTCAGCGTCTGCTGCGACTGCTAGCCTACCTCATTTTCTTCAAGTTTTATTTAAGATTATACGTGTGATATGAGAGTCCATGATTTACTTTACTTATGAGTTTTATGACTAAGACCTTTTAACTTGTCGTTTTGCCACACTATCTCTTCTCTTATTGTTGTTTATGTTTTCTATAATTTTTTTCACCAATATTATTATACCATATTATGTACCACATTATTAAAAATAAGACGCATTCATATCAAATTTTTTTTACTTTTATTATAGAGATAATACACAATGCGTCAATAATAAAATATGTAACATCAGTTCATTGGTATGGTTAGTTAGATGATCTAGATCCTGCTTTTGTAATAATTTATGATTTTCTATGCTTTATAATTTGCTAGGCCTAGGTATACCACACCTAATGGCTAGCTATAGTAGTGCTAGCTTAATTTAGGTGCTACATATATATGGCTTTTGGATCGAGACATTCAAGATTTTTTTTGGGTCACAATTTGCATTGTTTTTATAGATATTTAGTTGTATATCCATTCTTAGCACTTATACTATAGATAAACCCTACACCATTTAATTTCTATAAATAAATCCAAAAAACGACAGCTGAACCCTATTGAATTTAATTTTGATTATTAAATTACTTTGATACCCTATTGAGTGTTTTGAATTTTTTTTCAAGGAGGTTTTGGGGTTGGGTTTGTTTTAAGAAATCAATGACAGTTTTGTAATTTAAAAGAAGTTAAAAGCCTTTTGTTTTGTTGTAATTGGGCTTTGTGTGTGTTTCTAAACTCCATTTCATATAAGGGTCTTTTAATAATTCGTACTCCTATATTGGGTATAATAGTGAATTTCCCTTGTTTTTATTCCGAAATAGGAGGATATAGGAATTAGACTAAAGATTTATCCAAAACATAATACATACGTGTTAGTATATGATATAATAGAACATAATTAAAGAATGAATGTATATATCGTCTCCATTTTCCCTTGCTTATTAGTCCTAGTTGTAAGAAGCTCCTTAATATTGGTATAACATGAAATGACCAATTTACTCCTTCCCCCTCAAGGAAGAAAAGTGAAAATCCTAATATTATACAGGGGAAACAGGGTTAATTATGTAGTGCAGGAAAATTCATCCCATCTTCCTTATTCTATGGTCAGAAAGAACCGACCAAAAGAGTCTACAGTGCATACGCACACACGCATATATACACACAGAGACAAACGGCCACAAAGAATTAATAGCATTGACCAAGAGAAAATAAACTTTATATATATTCTACTAAAACTTAATTATGTGCAATGTACATATTATTCCCAAATATATATATATATGCAGTACAGAGATACTAATATACATATCCTACGATAATGAGCAGTAAAAGACAAAACTACCCCACTCGCTCTCTCTCTCCTCTCTCTATCCCTCTCTCTCTCTCACTCATCATATAGTTGGCCAACACATGGAACCACACCACATATACCACCATCTCTCAAGTGCTTCATGTTTTGCCTTTAAGACCATCTGCGCTAAAAAAGTGGGTGATTTATCCTCTCTCAAGACTTGATATAGCTTTTTCTCTCTTCCCTTTTCTCCTTCTTAGTCCATGGACACAGCTCACTGGCCACAGGTAAAGCAAACCCTTTTTCTTTTTCTTCCATGAAATCATGAAATTATCTTCTTAGGGTTGGGTTTTTCAAAGCTAAGTTTAGCTTAGCTTTGGGTTTTCAAACTTATATCTCTTTCTTGATACTTTGTTTAAAGTAGTTTGTATACTTTTCTTCTCTCCACATATCCACACTGAGAAGAGAATCATGTTTAGCTCAGCTCCCCACTAATATCTGAAATTTATATTGTTGTCTTCCAAGGTCTTTCATTTTTGTCTCGGAAGTTGAAAGTATTGCACTTTTTTCTTTCTTTTTTTCTTCCTGTCATCTGATAAAGTAGGTTTGTTTTTATTGCTGCTGTTGTAATCCTGATCATCAAAGTGTAAAAAAGCAACTCCCTCTTGTTTACTTTGTCCTTGTTTTCTTCCTTTTATTTTCTTCCTCCATCTTTCTCTTAATTTTTCGAGTTACATACAGACGATACAAATACTTTTCTGGTTTTTCGATCATCACCAAAGTTATGGCCTTTTCCTGTCGCTTTTATTTTTTGGGTTTATTTTTATTTATTCTTTTCAGGGGGTTGGAGTGGTTAAATCCATGGAAGATTCTTCTCCCTCAAGGCCCATCTTAGAGAGAAGGGCAAGACCTCAAAAGGATCAAGCTTTGAATTGTCCAAGGTGCAATTCAACCACCACTAAATTCTGCTATTACAACAATTATAGTCTCTCTCAGCCAAGATATTTTTGCAAGACTTGTAGAAGGTATTGGACTGAAGGCGGCTCTCTAAGAAATGTTCCTGTGGGTGGAGGCTCAAGGAAGAATAATAAGAGATCGAATTCATCTTCACCGTCAACCTCTTCAGCAAAGAAGGTTGCTCATGATCATCATAATCATGTCACCACCAATACCCCACATGGCAATTTCCCTCAGCACCACGACTCTGCGTCTCAAAACCCTAAGATCCATTTCCAAGGCCAAGATCTCAACTTAGCATACCCACCAACTGATCAGGAATATGATCAGGTACTACCCTTTAGTATTGACAACAAAAGCCAGCACCAGCTGAACCCTAGCTCTTCTACCACGACTTCATCTCATCATCATCATCATCATTTGTCAGCTACGGAGCTGCTCAAGACTGGGATTGCATCAAGGGGGTTGGCCTCTTTCATGCCCATGGGTGTACCTGATCATTCGAATAATAATAATAATATTACAATGTTTTCTACTGGGTTTCCCATGGGTGTGCAAGAATTCAAGCCAAGTCATGGGCTGAGTTTTTCTCTAGCTGGGTTCGAGAGTAGCGGGTACGGGTGTCTTCAAGGGGTGCAAGAGGCAAACAATAGTCATGCAAGGCTTTTGTTTCCTACAGATGAGGATTTGAAGCAGCAGATTCCAAGCACCACTAATATCACCACTGAATTTAATCAGCACACCAGAGGGGAAGGGGATTCTGGTGGTTATTGGAACGGAATGTTAGGTGGAGGTTCATGGTAAAAAGAAAAAGAAAAAAGAGAGATATATAATGATGTAGAAGAAAAGAAGGTATTTTGGTTTGTTTTTCTGGATCACCTCACCTGGTGGGTGGCACGGTGGCATGTTTGGAGTTTGACGAAAAGAGCAAAGTAATAATAGGGTACACGAGCTTCTTCCTTTCCTTTGTCATGATCATCAGTGTGTGTGTGAATTAATTAATTTTGCTTCTTCTTTTTTCTTTTTTCTTCTCTCTCACTCTCTTTGGTTTTTGTTTTTCTCTTTCTTTACTCTTTGATGGATCCATGTGGATGTTTTGAAGCTTAATTTTTGGTTGGCTTCAAAAGGGCCATGTCATGATGAATGCTGAATTCCTAAAATAGACATGAACAAGAGGCCAAGGAAGTCTCCCTGTTTCTTTTTAGGGTTCCTTAAAAGAAGATAAATTACAAGACGATCGATCTCCATCTCCATCTCCATCTCCATCTCCTAGCTGCTTGTTGAGCTCAGCTTGCACTGTGGCCTTGGCTTGGGGTGATATATGTTTTTCAGTTAATTAGCTGATTAATTAGGTAGCAAAGCAAGAGTCATCGCGATGATTTGTTAAATTATGTATGCAGCAGTGCCAGCAGAGCAGAGCAGAATGACTTGTATGTTGTTTATTATTTACTAGTTAACATTTGGATTTGTGGGTTGATTAGCGCAGTTGATGATGGGGTTAATTATTGGTTTGAAGTAATTAAAGTGATTTGGAATGATGGGCGTCAATCCTTTATTAGGAAAAGTTTCTGCTTTTGTGTGTTGTTTTTGCTTGGCAACAGGTCACAAGTGTCAGGTCTTTTCAGCACCATCTGCGCCTTTGAGATTCTTTCTTCCGCCCATTAATGGCACGGCCATGGCCACCCCCAACCCAACCCTCCATCATCATCCATCATATACACACACACCCAATTAAGTTTAAAGATTAATTCAAAATTTCGTTAAAACCCTATTTAAAATAAAAATTATTCCTATCCGTTTGAATTGAAGGTCTAGTCCGGTGATAGCATCGTTGTCTATATTTTCTTGAAATTTGATAGACAAACTCTCCCTTATTTTGTCATATCATTATAATCATTATTGTTTAGCTATCCTAGTCTCTCTCCCCCTATCCTAGTCCCTACTCTTGACTTGGTTTGGCTTAAGGAGGTGGGATCCACAAACATTCCCCTCGGTAACCATGCTAGGGAATTATCTCCTCCACTCTACAAAATCTTCCAGATGTAGACCTTAATATATTGTATGTATTAGATTCATATAGGAATAGATAGAGCTTCTAAGATTATATCATTGTCTTTTCTTGCTCTATGCTTTGGTGTTGAGCACTAGGGCTAGATTAGATTGTTACTGTAATATTGTAGGTGGAGGTGCACTACCCACCATGAACATCCCATTCTTGCCAAACCCTTATTAGGGATTCATACAATCTACGCCACCAATCTTGCTTCCCTTGAATTTTCAATTTTTTTTTTCATTTTGCTTAGTGAAATTTGCCAACTTATACCAATAGGGTATTAGTTGGATTGGTTCAGACCTTCAATATGCTCTCAAAAGGTCCTAGATTCAAATTTCCATAGATCCATGACACATGTGTGTGAGTTTTTCCCTCCATTGACAACCGAAAAACAAATGCCAACCCATAGGCTGTTTCTTTTTCTTTTTGAACTATGTCAATTATTCGAGTTAAGAATTAGTCACAGGTTTCCAACAACACACTGTCGGTGATGAGGATTGATTAGGTTCAAGAGGATAACAGTACTAGCGTAGCAACAAATAGAAAACGCAGAGTAGCTAACTAACTAGTCAATGCATTATAATGTGTGTATATTATATACATATAATATTAGGGTAAAAACACAACTTTGGTCACTATGTTGTGACGCAAAATCATAGTTAATTGTTTTAATTTTTCGATTTTCGTCGTATTTGATTCCGTGAGAGAGAGAGAGAGAGTAGTGAAGTGCACTGTAGGACTAGGTCAAACTGTTCACCATCTTACAAGCCTGCTCAACCCAAATTGATATAGTTGTTTGGATTTTTAAGTTTAATGGTCCCTGAATTTTGATCAAATTCGCATTTTGATCTCTCAATTTCTAAAATCGTTTTCATGGTCCTTCAACTTCAGTTTCATTAGGACAAATGGTCATGCAGTTATTATTATTATTATTATTATTATTTTAATGTTAAATTTGAGCATGGCACATGGTGTACTCTTGAGAAACACGTTGGGCTTGACCATTATGGAATCGGTTCGGCTCAAGTTGGGCTTTCGTCAATGTATTATGGTGGAAAGTAATGGTGCCTCTGAGGGCCTTTGTGTGATGTGGACAGACGAGTTAGGAGTTTCTTTAAGGTCTGCCAGCAACAACCATATCGATACGGAGGTGGAAGTCTTAGGGGTTCAGGGGAGATGGCGCTTCACAGGTGTTTATGGTTATCCTGTTACAATGGAACGTCACCGCTCATGGGACCTATTGATCAGGCTAGGAGCAACCAATTCACTGCCCTAGTTATGTTGTGGAGATTTCAACGAAATCCTAACAGCGGATGAGAAGACAGGGGGGAGGACTAGAGGTGCACGACAGATGCAAGGCTTCCGACATGCTGTGGATGAGTGTGGCTTCAAGGACTTGGGTTTCTCTGGACCAAAGTATACTTCGTGGAGGAATAGTCCGGAGGAGATTCGAATCCGACTTGACCGAGGAATAGTCCGGATGAGATTCAAATCCGACTTGACCGTGCTCTAGCTACTACAGATTGGTCTACTCGTTTTCCTGGCACGAAAGTCTTGCACTTAAACCCCATGAAGTCTAATCACTTGCCTATTAGAATTACAATAAGCAAGAGGATGTTATCAAATACTAGGCATCAGAAACTATTTCGCTTTGAGGAGATGTGGGTACAACATGAGAATTGTATGGAGACAATAAGGGAGGAAAGGCTCCAGCCTAAAAGTGGCTCTGCGCCTAGGGCAGTTACTGAAAAATTAAAAAGAACCCGGCTCCGATTGTTAGGATGGAGTAGAAGCAATTTTGGCTCCCTTCCACATCAAATTAAGTCTATCCAGACTAAACTAGGGGAGCTACTGGAAGCCCCTTTAACCCCTCAAACAGTTGAGACCAGGAAGGAACTTACTGCAAAACTAGACTCGCTTATGGCAAAAAATGAAATTTATTGGCGACAACGATCTCGTGCACTTTGGCTGAAAGCAGGCGACCGTAACACAAATTTTTTTCACTATAAAGCTTCAATTCGTAAGAGAATGAATACTATTTCTGCCCTAGAAGATGAGAATGGTAGATGGAAAACGTCAGAACCCGAGCTGGAAAATACAGTGGTCCATTATATCCAACAACTTTTTTCTTCCAATGGGAATACAAATTATGAGGAGGTGGTTGATGTAATGAGGGGCGGTGTGTCAGAAGAGATGAACAGGAAGCTTTTAGTTGATTTCACAGCTGAAGAAATTAAACATGCACTCTTCCAGATGCACCCTTCAAAAGCCCCAGGTCCAGATAGCTTTTCTCCTTTATTTTACCAACAGTACTGGGATGTGGTTGGTGTCGGCGTGGTGTCTGCTGTTCTTCACTTCCTCCGTACAGGTCAGTTGCTGAAACGGATAAATTATACTTATGTGGCTCTCATCCCCAAGGTCCCTGACCCTAAAAATATAACACAATTGCGCCCAATCAGTTTGTGTAATGTTCTCTACAAAATTGTGGCTAAAGTCTTGGCTAATCGCTTAAAAGTCATCCTTCCTTCTTTAATCAGTGACTCGCAAAGTGCATTTGTCTCGGGGAGAATGATTTCAGACAACTCCATTGTGGCCTTTGAACTTCTCCATTTCATGAATAAAAAAACACACGGCAGACAGGGATACATGGCTCTTAAACTAGACATGAGTAAAGCTTACGATCGTGTGGAGTGGAATTTCCTGGAGTCCTTGTTGCTAGGGATTGGTTTTAATCGGCGGTGGGTCCAATTAATTATGGCCTGTCTGACGTCAGTTTCCTACTCTTTCTTGTTGAATGGAAACCCGGTTGGTTATGTCATCCCACAACGTGGCCTGAGACAAGGTGACCCTTTCTTGACCTATTTATTTCTCTTATGTGCTGAGGCCTTATCGGGGCTAATCTTGCAGGCTGAACAAAACGGTACCCTCCATGGTGTCAGCGTATGTCGGGGAGCTCCCACTGTTAGCCATCTATTTTGTTGCTGATGATAGCTTCCTATTTTTAAAAGCAAGTCAAAGCGGTTGTACACAGTTGAAAAAAAATCCTCCAATGCTATGAGCAAGTGTCAGGTCAAAAAATAAACCTTGATAAAAGTTGTGTATCCTTTAGCCGAAATGTGGCGGGTGGAGACCAGGAGCTTTTTGCCACTATGTAGGGAGTTAGGCGAGTTGCCCAGCATGACAAATACTTGGGTCTGCCTACTCACATTGGCCGTTCTCGGGGACAATGTTTCAACTCTCTTAAAGATTGCATCTGGAAGAAAATACAGGGTTGGAAGGCAAAGTTATTAAGCTTTGCAGGTAAAGAAGTTCTTCTAAAAGTGGTTGCACAGGTAGTGCCCATATACATGATGAGTTGTTTTCTTATTCCTAAATTTTTGTGCGAGGAAATTCAGCAAGTGATGGCTTCCTACTGGTGGGGAGCGCAAGAAGGGAGGCGAAAAATCCCTTGGTTAAGTTGGAAAAACTTGTGTAGACCAAAACATAAGGGTGGTCTTGGCTTTCGGAATCTCTATGCTTTTAATATGGCTTTGGTAGCCAAGCAATTACGGCGTTTGTTTCATAACCCACACTTGTTGGTGGCTCGTCTCCTCAAAGCTCGTTACTATAGGGACTGCTCCATCTTGGAGGCCACTCTGGGTAACTCCCCCTCTTACGTTTGGAGAAGCCTGTGCGAGGCTAAAGTGGTCCTTGAGAGAGGATCCCGCTGGCGAATTGGGGACGGCCAGACTGTTCGTATTTGGGCTGACAGGTGGTTGCCAACTCCTGTTTTTTTCAAGGTCTTGTCTACTCCAGTGGCGGAGCATGATAATACTCGTGTCAGTTTCCTTATTGATCCAGTTACTTTGCAATAGAAGACAACTATTCTACGAGCTTGGTTTTTTTACGGAAGAAGCAGCAGTCATACATAAAATTCCCTTGAGTTTCCGCCAGCCACTGGATACGTTGATCTGGCACTTTGAGAGACATGGCTATTACTCAGTTAAGAGCGGATGTGAAGTAGCAAGGTAGTATCTCCTCTAACTATGGGGAAGTCGTTCAAACCAATGGTATGGCCAATGGGATTACTGTACCGGTTTGAAGGAAAATATGGGAGGGTCGTGTTCCGCCGAAGGTCCGCATCTTTATGTGGAGGGCCGTGCTAAATATCCTGCCCACCAAAATCGACTTGAAGAGGCGGGGCATCGCTAAGCTGGGTGAGTGTGTGTTTTGTGGAGAGGAGGAAACCGGATTTCATGTATTTGTGCAATGCCCAATTGCTGAAGCAGTTTGGCATCACTGCTCATGTTAGGACTCTCTTCAGAGGGTTGTGGCTGTCGACCTCACAGCGTGGTTCCAAGGTGTTGCCCTCAACCTTTTAGTCCTTGAGTTAGAGCAAGTCATGATTTGTATGTGGGCTCTATAGAATGAACGTAACCAAGTGGTTTGGAATGAGCGTCGGCGGAGTGTGTCAGAAATTGTTAGTGGAGCCATCCGGCTTCTGCATGATTCTTATGAGCTTCAACACCCTCCTTTGATTCCTTCATCTCGAGTCATGGCGAAGTGGCAGCGTCCGCCCTTGGGTTCTATCAAAATCAATCAGGCTAGTATAGCATTACACTCTCACAGAGCGGCTGAGTAGTTCTGGGACCCCCCAATAGTTTTGCATGTTGCTTTAGTGGCAGACTCTTTTTAATTCCCTTGTTCTACAAATTTTATATTGTACGTCTGGCATGGGTGGTACTCTTTCCTACCCCGGGGTTTTATCCCATGTGGTTTTCCTCGGAAAGGTTTTAACAAGGTCACGTTAACATGCCCTTTTGTACACACTTTCACAGTTTAATAGACTGCAACCTATCACTTTTCCCCTAAATAAAAAAATAAAAAAATTTGCTTCACTCATGGGTACATGGGTAAATTTCGGTGGGGTTGGGTAGGCGAGGTCTTGTGGATACTATGGCAAAGATAGGAAGAAGGTTTTTTTTTTTTTTGTGAGAGAAATGAATATTCAGATGATGAAAATGTAAAATTCAAAAAAATCATTTTGCCCATGCATTTAACGGAAAAGATAACAAAATTGACGGTAGAATCATTTGTCCTAACGAAAATGAAGTTGAAGAACGACTTTGGAAATTGAGGGACCAATTGGGTCAAAATCCAGGTACCATTAGACCGAAAAATCATATTTGTTTTTAAATTTTTTTTTTAACATGTGTCTTCATATGATTGGGTAAATCAACTACACCTCTAGCGTGGATTTAGCTCACCTGTCGGAATCTATTGTGGATCTACTTTCCCCCCGCTCTTCTCTTCATGACTCAGCAAAACCACAAGCCAAACCGTAGCTCATCAATGTGGTTTGGTTCGCATAGTACGGAGTATTTTCGTCACAACCAATCTAAATCGAACTGTGCTCACCCATAGTTTGTTGAATATAAAGCATTAGGCATAGCAGGCTTGAAAAGTTGGTCCGGAAGTGTTGTGGGGCAGCTCCCTTATCAAGTCCATACGGTATGGACTTAAAAAGGAAAATGCCCATACCGATACAATTGGGGGACTCATATTTGAAGCAATGGGCTGTCTGGTGCTCTGCGAATCGCGAAACTTGAGAAATCGGAAAACCTTAGCTAAGTAAGCTCTGGGTTTGTGAGGGGGGTTGTTGAGTATACGGGGAAAAAAGTCGTGGTGGAAGTTACTGATCCTTCAAACATTCTCACAAATTCCCCCATTCGAACCACAGTAGCAACAGAAACTTTCATCTAGCATAAATATTTCTTCACCTTCTCTGGAACTGATAAGGAAATCAGTCCCTTTTCCACCCAAACCAAAACTAAAAGGAGCTTAAGTTACGCATGTGACATCTTCAGACAACTGTATTTATTAACACATAAATTTGATGATGGTTTCCATCTACAATGGGTTCATTCAAAGCACATGGCAAGAGACAATTACAAACTTTCAAGGAAAATGTCAAGTTTCTGTACAAACAACAATGCCACATTCAATAGGAATGGATGATGCCTTCGGTACACTTAATTACATCAATAGGAATGAATGGCAGGACCCTTTGCTATTGCTTTGCTGCTACCAATCCTCCTTCACAATTTTTGACTTCTCAAATATGAACTTCCCTTCCTTGTACTTCTGTGATGCCTCATAAGCTCGTTCATATTTCCACCCCAACACCTCACGGCAATCACTGCAATGGATGTCAGCAACAGTATGCAGTCCAGTCAACAGATGTCTGTCTTCTTTTGCCCCGACAACAACATTCATCGCGTGGGAGAACAGAAAAGCTCGGCCATGTCTTCCCTATAACAAAATGTTGGAAAACAAATGTTTGACAAGAGAATATATGCCCAGATCCTATTATCACAGCCAAAATATGAGATGAAACCATACGGTCAGATGGGTTTCTTTGTTTGTTTTCTAACACAGACGCAAAACACTGGAGTTACAAGATCAAGCACAAAGAGCAAACTAGGTTTTTTATTCAATCTAATTCCGCCTTCATTTTCTCTTTGACCGATATGAATTCATGTAAAGCTAAAGGAAAGTTACCCTCTCATGTTGATTTAGTACATTCTCTGTTCTTATATTGATCACAGCAAAGAACCATAATGATTAGCCAAATAGAAAAACAAAGAACAAAAAGCAGAGAACCTACAAAGATGGAGTTGGCACCCCAATTGCAATTCTGCTATGGAACATAGATGATGATCTTTCTCTAACATAATTTACCCTCTTTCTGTAAACCACTTGATTCCTAACCCCCATCAGTTTAAAGCTCTACAACAGTCAATTATCACTTGGGAAGAAATAATAAAAACTCGAAAGAAATATAAACAAAATTCTTATTTCTCAAAAATAAAGATAAAGAAGCAGAAGTCGAACAATATTCTGGATGCCTCACCTGAAAAGCCTTAGAAATTATATCATCATGAAGTGAAACATGGTTTCGGCAATTACAACAGCTGTACAATCTAGGCCCTACCAAATCCGCCATTAATTAACAAATTCAGCTCTAAACACCTCACTGCTCGCCAACCAGGAAAAAAAAAAAAAAAAAAAAAAAAAGAGAAAAGGAAGCAAAAGAAACAGAGACAATTACACACGGAGACAGAGAAGTCTAAGGGGTGGAAACCCAAGTAACAGCAAATTCTGTAAAATCAAAACAGGAACAAAAGATAAAGGGAAAGATCATAAATTTATTTACCTAGAACAAGATCAAAAGTCACCCAGAAGCCTGCAACAAAGGATAAGGGGCACCAACCGAGTTAGCGTGCACGATTAGACCCAGACAGATTACGAGTTCGAACAAAGATTCCAAAAGTAAAATATTAAAATGGGTGTGGAGTGAAAGAGACAGGATTGCAGTTAAGGGTAAGCAACAAGAACATTTACAAGATGAATATTAACAACCAAATGTTAAAAAAAATGATTAGGAAAGGAAAAGTTGGAGTCTTTGAAGTGAAATCCATGGGAGAGAATAGAACCCATTAATTAATTGCATATTATAATGGAAAGAGATGAGGGTCTGATAAAGAGTGGATAAATTATTTTAATTTATACTTGAAGAATTGAAGCAATAAATCTTGTTGATTACTAACAGTCAAGCACTGCAATCAAATTCATGAAATTGATAGAGAAATAACAAAAACAAAATGTAAATTTCGGAGGTTTTTTCTTTTCGGTCGCCAAAAACACTGACCTTTTTCTTCTGCAGTGTGACTTTACTTTGAGCCTTGAGAATTCATGGCGAATGGTTTGCGTGCAAACTCTAACAATTAATAGAGGGTGAGGGGAAGAATTTTGTGCAATATTTTTGAGTTTGATGACTTGTTGAGTCACCAAGAGGCAAAAGCCAACTCACGCGCGCCAAGATAAAGACTTCACACGCGCGAGCTTACCGGTGCACAGGAGGAGGGCTGACAGGCTTTTGCCCAAAATAAGTTCTACCCAAAATCAATTGGTTACAGGGCCAACTCAGTATAAACCTAGGCTAGATTCCTTCATTTTTCAATGCAAGACGAAGACTCTTAATAATGGATGACCGCATCCAATTCACAATTTCCAGTAATTTAACCAATTTTGTTTTTTCACAATTTCTATTATAAACCACGGAGTTATGCAACCCTTCTTGCAATTGTAGCACAAAAAAGGAAAGCCTCCCTCCTTGAAATGAAGAGCCAAACTAAGTGAAGTTGCCATTAAAATTTATAGTAAATTGAGTTTAGACCCATAAAATCCATTTTAAATCACCTACAACTCTTTTCTTTAGTTGTCTATGTAAAATACCCAATTTTTTCAAATAATACCCGATGACTAGGATTCAACTAAGTAAGTTACCTAATATAACTTAAAATCTGATTTATTATATTTTTCGGATTCCAAAACTATCCCTATTTATAAGTTAATGTGTTATAGGGGGGTGTAACTAATGACACCCGTTGAATTTGGAGATATCTCAAAATAGTTGTAATGGATGTAGGAACTAATTTAGAAACTTATTTGAAATTAAATATTAAATTCCATATTAAAGTATTAGTAATCTATTTTTGAATTAATGGTGTTTTTCTTCTATGAATTACGACTAGTAATCTATTTAAAGTATTAATAATTTAAATTTAATATTAAATTTAGGAATTAATGTTTTTTTTAATTATATGACCAGTATTCTTTTTTATTATATTTTTATGAAAAATAGTGTACATTGTTGAAAAATAATTTGATAATCTATTTATTGTTTTGTTTTTAAAACATCTTTTTTAATGAACCTATTTTTTCTCCAAATATTGTACCTTTTTTTTTCTTTATTACTTGTTTTATAAAAAATAATTTGATAATTTTTTTATTGTTTGTTTTATGAAAACAGTTTTTTTTAAATGAGCCTATTTTTTATCTCAAAATAATGTGCCTATTTTTTTTTCTCTAATGATGTACCTTTTTTTTCTTTCTAAATAATGTACCTATTTTTTCTCTCAAAATAATGTACCTATTTTTTCCCCTAAACAATTTACCTGTATAATGAACCTATTTTTTTTTCTCTCTAAACAATGTACCTTTTTTTTGTTCTCTAATAATGTATACCTAGTAAAACAATTTACCTAGTATAATGAACTTATTTTTTGTCTTCTAAGTAATGTACCTATTTTTAGTTTCTAAAAAAATGTGCATAAATTTCAATTATACAACATACCTATTTTCTATAAATTATTGTGTACCTATTTTTAATTTATGAAAAATGTATTGAAATTTCAATTACAAAGTAATTGACATATTTTTGTTCATTTTTTTTGGTAAATAATATACCTATATTTTTATATGTATATATTTATATTTATATTTTTCATATGTACATTACTGGATATGTAATTTACATATTTATTTTATTTGCAATTTTAAGGGGTCATATATTAGAGGGAATGGCAACCAAAAGAAATGGGGTGATTGATATGTTATTAATAGGGAGTTTTAATTACAATTATGGCAATTAATGAAATGCTTGGAAATTATAAATAAAATATGAAGTATGATGGTAAGGATGTAAAAACATAGAAATACTACAACCTCTTATACCCTACTGGTCATTTTAGTTGGGTTTTACACATATATTTATAAAATGATGAGTATATGTCTAGGAAATAGAATTTGTAGGGACCTATATTGGACACGATTTCAACATTACTCATTTTAACCCTCTCACTAGGGGTGAACATTTCATCCGAATTATCCACGTACCGACCGTACCGTACCAGCGATTTTGTATGGTTTGGTTAAATAATTATTTTTAAATTTTAATTATTCTGATCTGATCTGTACCGAGATATTTGGTTTGATAACGGAAACAATATTCCTAACTCGACGGAAACTCGTCCCGATCCGATATTTATACTTATTCTATTATTTAAATACAAAACAATAAACCAAAGATAAATACAATAAGCATTTTGTATCACTCCTTTATCACTGCTGTATCACTTCTTTATCACCATTCTATCACCATTCTATCACTGCTTTATCACCATTATATCATTTCTTTATCACCCAAGTACTGTAGCACTTTTTGGTCAGAGATGAATTTATGAATTTCCTATGTTTTACAGTTTCGACATTTGTCTTGTTTTTTACCTGTAACTTTCCAACCGTTGATTCAAATTTTATGTTCTTTATATGGTTGGATAGAGCATGAAAAACTAAAGAACCCAACACATAACAAATGTCACAATCATTTACATAAATATAGAGAATTCATTAAAAATAACACTCAAATGTTCAAACAACAAACACAAGTGGCTCCCAATACATCTTGAGTATATATTGAATGATATAGTAACTAAGTTATTTGATTTCATACTTCGATGAATTAGACTATTGGATTTTTATATTTTACAATGATAATTTGGTGTATTTGTTCAAGAACTTATGTTATGTGAAAGTATTATAAATTGTATTTTTATTAGTATGCTTTTATTACGGTACTACTGGCATACCGAACCAATTCGAACCGAATATTAGGTTAACCGATTTGAAGTCTACCGAAGTCTTTAGTTTGGTTAACAGAAGAGCCTTCTACCGTTCCCAACCGATTTGTGCCCAGGCCTACATCTCACAAATCCATCAACATCATCAACAAAATCATACAAATCACAGAAAGGAAAGAAAAAAAGGGGTTTGTCACTCTATTTCTATCTCGTAATTATGGACTATATTCATCTTAAATTAACTAAGTAATCATTTCTTGCGTAATTAAATGTCTCACAAAATCATCAAGAAAATACAAGTGAAACATTCAAAATACTAGAAAATACCATTGGTTAATAAAAACATTAAGAATTGAAATTATTAATTAAATGAGGATAATATGGTAAATTCATATTTTTAAATATTAAAAAAATTTAAAAATAAAATAAAATCATATAATAGGTCATACTTTTATGGAATATAATCACTCATGTTCTCTTTTATTAATTTTTAAAAAAAAAGAAAAAAAAAATCAATTGGCACATGTGTCAAGGGATGTGTCAAGGGATGTGTATATGTACTACAAAAGGAGAGAAACAAAAGGAGAGAGAAGAAAAAGGAAAGAAGGAAAAATTAGAAGTAACCGCGAAGGCATTAGGGATTTGGGGTATTTGCCCGCTCTTTGCAACTTCGCCACTTAACTTCAACATTCGACATCTCACGAACTCATCTCATCTCTTACTCTATTTCTCCTACTCTACTGAAAAAATAAAAAACCAGAATCTTTCCCCTTCCTCTTCATTTGTTATCTCAAAGAGATACAAGCCAAGCAGCAGATAATAACCACCGTTCACCCACACAGTCTCTCCCTCAACCCTAAACTATGGCGGATGCTTATTGGAGGTACAGCGACGCTCGGCAACCACCACAGTCGGCGATGAATTCAGTCGTCGGAAAGCGCCCTCGCTCCGATTACGGTATATCAAATTCCTCGAATTTCCATGATTTTGAGTTCTATCTCCTTTTTGTGTTTGTTTGGTGCTTGATTAAATTAGGGTTCTTGGGATTTTTTTGGTTGCTTTTAAAGGCAAAAACTGCACTAAGAATGTATGTATTTTTTTAACAATAAAGGGAGATTTCAGCAGACTTCCAAGTAGTGGAATTAGGTTTTCAGTGGGCTGAAGGATTGAAATTTGAGGTTCACTTGTTTCCTTAAATTTCCCATTCAGTGTCTAAGCAACCTAATGAAGTTCTGAAGTGGGGGTGAAATGTGTTTCTTTTGATGTATGCTGTATGTGGGTTAATCAGTGTTGATGTATATGTGAATCAGCTTATTAAGATATTATCTGTGCTTCATGATATGTATGATTGGTGCTTACATGGTTATTTCTAAGATGCACTTAGATTATATGATAAATTTGCATTATTGGTAGCTGCTGTGCCTATATTGAAGTTCGGGTAATCATTAAGAAATACTTTGTTTCATTCAAGGATCGACCTTTTATGCCTTCCTGCAAGCATTGATCAGTGTACAGATTATATTATTTATTTGAAGATATGCTATTAAGCTGGCTCGCTATAGTTACCATATAAACTACTCAGCTTCTATGAGATATTTGGCATATATTAGGCATATGCAGAAGGAAAATCCAAATGGTTGTGTTAGCATATGCAAATATTTGGGTATAAACCTAGGGATCTTAGCAACTTGATTACCTGCTTATGAGCAATTCAGTAGCTTCTAGTGATTATAGAAATTTGGTTTGATAGGCTGTCTGCAGTTTAACTTAATATTGTCTTGTTTGTAGCTTTATGCTGTAGCAATTTGATTTTCTTCACAACGGCACGGTCTGCCTTTAGAATCATATGCATTCAAATATTGTTTCTTTCTTTCTCTTTTGGTATCTACTGAAGTACATCCGTAATATTTTAGATGCCCATGGTGGCCACGACCTGCCGAGTTATTATTCCCATGAAGATGATAGAGGTTCTCTCCGCGGAATTAGAGATACTGACTCCATTAATGCCTCATATGATCGCTACCTGCGCAGTGCGGTACTTACTTTTCTTTTTTGTATTTGGCTCTCACATTTTTCACCATACGTTTTATGTTTAGGGGGCTAATGTATCAAGTAATGTTTCAGCAAATGCCATCATATAGTGGGGGACAGTCTGCTAGAACCTTGAGTGGGGGACTACCTGGTCGTTCTGTTGATGATCCACGGATGATGGGAATGGGGGGTGTTGAACCAGGGGCACCTGTAAAAGACAGGGTTTTAGGAATGGGAAGTGGACGGCCTGAGGCTCCCCTACCTCCTGGTGCTACCAGTACGCTATTTGTGGAGGGATTGCCTCCCAACTGTACACGACGTGAAGTAGCTCGTATCCTTAATTTTTCTAAGGGGTTTGCAGTTTTCTTTCCTTAATTTTTATCATCACTTGCATTTTTAGCTTTTTAGATTTTCCCTTCACTTGAGTTTGAAGATATATTTCGCCCTTTCGTTGGCTACAAGGAAGTGAGACTCGTAAGCAAGGAATCGAGACATGTAAGTTCATCTTTCCCCAGGGTAGATTCAATATTTAGTGATTGATGCATTCACTAATAAGTAATCTCTGCAGCCTGGAGGGGATCCTCTTGTACTTTGTTTCGTTGATTTTGTGAGCCCAGCCCATGCTGCCACAGCTATGGATGCGTTGCAAGGTAAGCTACTTACAACTTCATTTAATTTGTTGCAATCCTAGCCCCATAGTTTCACTGGCCTATTCAATTAATTGCTTATTTTGTTGCCTTTTCTGATGCCATTGTTGGAGGAGTTGCATTTCCTAAAATTATTTCACTTTGCGAGAAGAGGGACTGCCAAATGATTCACAAACTGCTTTTTGGCTGTGTTATGAAATTAACCAAAATTAAAAAGGAAAGGCTATTAGGTTTTCCAAATTTAACAATGTATGGTATACTGCATGGAAAGGAAAGTTTACTTTGCTATCAATATTTAACACAGTTCACATAGAAAATCTGTACAAAGTGTTTCTGACTTTAAACCCTTTTCACTTCCAAAGATGCCTGAAAGTTTCAACAATTACAGAAAGGTTCCTAAATCCTTAGTTTTGTGGAATTTATTTCCCATTTAAAGTGACATAACACACTATTCAAGGTGCGGGATTTCTTTTTTTGAAGAATGACAGGATCTTTTGAGCCATATTGGCTTTAAAGGAGGTGAACATAGATTGCCGATGACCATATGTATTATTCTGCAGTTTTATTCTGGGTGTTGTTTCATGGGCATCTGTCAGTTTGTTTAGTATTTATTACATCTTGGTTTCACACGACACGTTACTTTAGGCCAGAAGTTGCATGGTCTGCAAAGTCATCCAGTACCAGTGTACCACGAGCCAAACTTAGTAAATTTTTCCAAACAGTGGAAGGGGTTTCCTTCCTGGGTCATTTTAATCCTCCTAGATTGCGAATCTCTGATGAATGCCTTAAATCTGGTTGGTTTCATTGGGACCTGATGAGTTTAAGCTCATTTAGTGAATTAGGACACCGGGACTGGTCAGAGAATCCTTATAATCAATTGTTTGACCACACTTGTAATTCAGTCATAAGAATGGTGTTGTTAACAACGGTGCTCTCAATATAGTCATCTCATTCTGATGAGGTTTCTCTAATCGTACTGTATCTTTATGCTAAGAGAGGAATCGTGTGAGCTTTATTTTGGAATGAGAGATCCATTTTACGCATTCTGTCAATCTAGTGCATGTGAGGGGTGCCCACATTTGCTGCTAAGTGTGTTGCAAAGTGATAGGTATTATATGTCTAAGATAACGGTTTCACGTCTTATATCATCTATCTGCTGATGCCCTGATTCGCCGTTGAAAACGTTCCCAGTTGTTAGTGCGTAAATGGTCGAGCTCGATTTTGCAGGTTATAAATTCGATGAGCATGACCGTGACTCGGTCAATTTAAGGTTGCAATTTGCTCGGTATCCTGGTGCGAGGTCAGGTGGTGGGCACCGAGGGAAGCGTTGAATTATGCGGTTTTCAGGTGATTAACACAATTCTCGATCCGTACGACCCTTTATTATTCATCGCCGTTAGGTGCTGAGTAAAAATCTAAAAAATCACGCTAAATCGTGGAACGAATCTTCTCTGTAGGACTTGCTTGAATTGGGAGGTTGTGATAATGAGGGGCGATACAACAAACTTGCAGTCTCGAGAATTAAAGGCGCATAGTTAGGACCAACTCAATTGGGTGATTCCTGATAATTGGGGGCGATTACTAGAGTGCTTCTGTTTAGACAACTGCAGACTATATTTTCATTTGTTTACTTTGGGATATCAGTATGATTACTTAAAGACTATCTCACCATATGCGTTTTGTTAGAAAATGTAAAAACTTATTTAAAGTTGAGCAGTCTCTTTGCATTTGCATATGCATATGCTCTGGGATGAGGGTCTAGTATTTGACATTTATTTAGTGATGAAGTGTGGTAACTGCTGTAGGCGTCATATATATCGAAAATAACTGGCTTCTTCTGTGTCAGTTGCTCATTTTTCTCAGAGGTATTAAAATCCGAAATTGAATTTGTTGTAGCTTTTTTATCATATAGATGTTTCATTTCCTTTCTTCTTTTCTCCTTTTGGAAGTGATACAGAACAGAGTTTTTATGATAGTAATGGGTAGAAACTAAAGCCTGTCAGCCATGACTATCTCTAAAACATCATTATTATAATGAAGGAATTCTTACCCTGTGAAAAATTCTGGCTTTCGAGTTTTGACTGGGTTTGGTTGGGTTGGGTTGGGTTGGTTTGTAGATGGATCTAATCTCTTATTTTCTCAAGTTAAGTGAGAGGTCATAAATATTGTCCTGCTTTTGGTGCTTCACGTGAATCATAAAGGTTGCCTTTTCCTGTTTGTCAGTAATATTTTACAACTTGTGGACGCCTCCTAAAAGCAAAAAACAGAATGAAAGTCGTGATCATTTTCCACGGTACGGGTTGGGTCGGTTGTTGTAACGGGTGTCTTCATTCATCTTTTCGCAAATTACTATTTCAGTCTAGTCTAAGACGATGAATTTTGCCCCAAAAGCTGTGTGTGTTCACACCCGCACATTACACATTACACATTACACATTACACATACACATTCATTAAGATGGTAGGCTTCGGCTTCGCAATTGAACAATTAATTAAGATGGCGATCTCCTCGAAATCAACAGGAGCCGTGAGGGGTGGGGAGCAGAGGTTTATATTATTATGTAAAATCAAATTACGTTTCATGAGGATTATGTTTACATAGCAGCCGAGCCGATAAGAGTATAAACCTAAATTAACTAACAATAATAGGATTTGATCATAGACGCCCATCTGAGAATGTAATGTAATCCATTGGTTAACTTAACAACGGGGTGATTATGCTGGAATATTAATACTCAAGTTACATTTTCTTTCATTTGGCTGAAGGAAGAAGATGAAGTGCGTTGCAATGACTGAAAAATATGAAATCATTATGTTGATGTATAAGCGATATTGAGAGAAGAGGATTCTAACACAATCGCAGGACCAACACTAAAAAATATTATTTGAAACGGAAAATAAAAATAAAAATAAAAAAAGAGCGAGAATTTGGATACGAATCATTCAACTCAAATACCCAATGATAATGATTGAAGGGGACGGATGAGTGTCCAATTTCATCCGCACCAAGTGTAATTTTTTTCAGTTAGGGAAAAAATAAAGGAAAAAGGAAACGTGAAGCCAGTCAAAGTCAGCGAAGTGAGCATCAGTCTGGTTAAAAGAGATGGATATTTCTTTGTCATCTTCACCCCGTAGCCACTAGAGGACCCGTAATTGAGATTATCGACAAAGTCGTTGTCTAATCCCTACCCATTCACTAAACTTTGAATCAATAATTTTAATTATTAAATACACAGTAATAACACGACCGGGATAGGGATAGGGATAACGATAGTGATAATGATAATGAGGACTTTCACGTTGTAAATAATACGTCGAATGGTTATCATGCACTCGTTTTAGATTTCAACTGCGTAGTTGGGTTGTGGGGTGCTAGTAACAGCTCCCATACTCCAAATGAAATTCAAAGATTTCAACTTCTTAGTTGGGTTGTGGCCCCTTGAGACACCTTCCCTTTAATCTCCCGATTCTCATATGCATTGGAATCTTTCTAGGTTTACTATTCCGACTCCTACAGCTACTCAACCTCTCCTTGACATTAAATAAATAAATGCTATGTATATCATATCTTCCTATCTAATCTATCCTACTATAATGCCATATCATATTAGGATTATAATTCTTCAAATTTCAAAGTTCCAAACAAACCCTCCCTCTTTCGTTTATTATATCATACAAATACAACGCCTTTTTCTTTACACACACACTAGTATTATTATTATACTCCAAATCCAACCCTAGTCTTGCCCCATTGCTTCTTTCTTTCTCTCTGCGTTGTGTGTTTTATTCAAACAGCAGAGAGCTGAGGATACTGTATCGTATTGAATACGTATTTGATGATACATTGGTTGTTTTTATTTGGTTTTCTAGTCTACTTTCACGCAGGATCTTAAGGAAGGAAGGTGGTTGCTTTAATGGCTGAGATACACAGTGGAACGATGGGTGCCTCTGACGAGGAAAACGATGACTGCCCCATTAAACAAGTCGAGTTAACCGTGCCCAAGACCGATGACCCCAACATGCCAGTCCTCACATTCAGAATGTGGGTTCTGGGTTTGGCTTCATGCATCTTGCTTTCCTTTGTCAACCAGTTCTTTTGGTACAGGACGCAGCCATTGTCCATCACTTCAATTTCTGCCCAGATTGCTGTGTTGCCGATTGGGCATCTCATGGCAAGGACTCTGCCTACACGCCTTATTTTCAAGGGTACTCGGTTTGAGTTCACTATGAACCCAGGTCCTTTCAATATCAAAGAACATGTTTTGATCACCATATTTGCAAACTCTGGTGCTGGGAGTGTTTATGCCACCCATATCTTGTCTGCTGTTAAGCTCTTTTACAAGAGGAAGCTCACTTTTATTCCTGCCTTGCTCGTTTTGTTTACCACTCAGGTTTTCTTCTTCTCCTTCTTCTTTGGATTTCAAATGATTTCATCTTTCCTTGTGGAAAAATATAACCTTTCTTGTAATTTCGATTATAGATTTATCAGAACAAAGAAACAAAAAAACTGAAGGCATTGCTTTCTTGGAATACACTGTACTATCCAGAGTTTTTTTAACATTTGAAAGTTAAAAGAGGATCAATTTTTAAACTTACCAACTCCATATTGTGTCCAGGACCTTTAATTTAAGTGTTAAATGGTTGATAAGTCCTTGAAATTAGAATCCTGTGTTGACAACTTCCTTCTTGCCATCGTTCTTTTTTAACAACTCTTTGTGAAAATTTGTTCCGGAAGCATTTAGGAAAGTACTGGATTCATGGATAAGTGGAATTTTTAAAACTGTACCTATGACTGGTATGATTTTTGTTACATGTTATTACTCTAAAGGGAGTTTGTATTTTATCTTATTGGAAAATATGTTCATATTATAATCATCAATTATAAGACTATTAAAATGGCTCAAATTTGCTGAATTTTAGGACAATAACAGCACAATGAACTTTTTGTTTCATACTGAAATTATTTCATATATTCATTGTGCATCAGATTGTTATGAGTGACGTCTGATCTTGTAGTTTCTATTCATCTTGTTTGAATTATAGGTTTTAGGGTTTGGTTGGGCTGGAATTTTCCGGAGAATTTTGGTTGACCCAGTACAGATGTGGTGGCCCTCTAATCTGGTTCAGGTTTCATTGTTCAGGTAAACTTATCTTAGTTCAGTAATTAGCCAATAATTGGTTTCGTAGCCTATTTATTATTACTCACAGTAGTATGTCTTATGCTGCAGAGCTCTGCATGAGAAGGAGAAAAGGCCTAAAGGTGGCATGTCCCGTACCCAATTCTTCCTCGTAGTCATGATCTGCAGTTTTGCTTACTATATCTTTCCTGGCTATCTTTTTGTTATGATAACATCCTTCTCTTGGGTCTGTTGGCTTGCTCCTAAGTCTGTTCTAGTCCAACAACTGGGTTCTGGCTTACGAGGCCTTGGTATTGGTTCCTTTGGGATTGACTGGTCAACAATTTCATCATATCTTGGTAGTCCACTAGCTAGCCCATGGTTTGCCACTGCCAATATTGCCTTTGGATTTGCTCTAGTCATGTATGTGATGACGCCCATCACTTACTGGCTTGATTTCTACAATGCCAAGAAGTTCCCAATATTTTCTAGTGACCTTTTCATGTCTAATGGTACAAAGTACGATGTTCTGAGCATCATTGATTCAAAGTTTCAACTTGACCATGGTATGTATACAAAGACTGGACCTGTAAACTTGAGCACCTTCTTCGCTATGACTTATGGTCTTGGATTCGCCACACTTCCTGCTACTCTTATGCATGTTCTACTTTTTAATATAAGGTAATTACACTTGAAGCATTTGATGTACTGTTCACTCTGCTTGTGAAGCAATTACAAAATATATACGTAATTTTAACTAAATTCACAAAAGTAAGTTGCATTTCTAGCAATAAAGTATACTTCTTGTCTCTTTACTAAAGGAAACCATTGCAAAGGTCTTTGTGAATTTAAGCTGAAGTTCATCATCTTACCTTCAATGCAGTGACCTTAGAAATGCATATCGACGACAAAAAAAATTGGATATCCATGCAAGGCTTATGAAGCATTACAAATCAGTGCCGACATGGTGGTTTCTTGCCATCCTTGTGGTAAACATTGCTCTTATCTTCTTTGCGTGTCAGTATTACAGCGAGTCACTTCAATTGCCTTGGTGGGGTGTATTGCTTGCTTGTGCCATTGCCATTGTGTACACAGTTCCAATCGGTATCATCACAGCCACAACAAACCAGGTAACAGAGTTATAAGTTTCATTTGTTTGCTAATGTTGCTAACTGTAAGTTTACAACGTTCAAATTCATGTGATGATGTTAGGTGTCTGAAACTTTGCCCTCTCATTTTTTTGGTATCAGCAACCAGGTTTGAACATCATCACGGAATATGTGATTGGGTACTTATACCCTGAGCACCCTGTAGCTAACATGTGCTTCAAAGTGTATGGTTACATCAGTATGACTCAAGCTCTAACATTTCTAGCTGATTTTAAGCTTGGACACTACATGAAGATTCCGCCACGAGCAATGTTCACAGCTCAGGTCAGTTTGATTTTCTGAATTTATCAAATCTGCATTGCATGGTGTTGGATTGCAATCTTCAATAGCTAAACTGGTGGAATTACAGGTGGTAGGAACAATTGTAGCGGTGATTGTATACCTGGGAACGGCCTGGTGGCTGATGGGAGACATTCCCAACCTTTGTGATACATCCAAGCTGCCACAGGACAGCCCATGGACTTGTCCAATGGACCGTGTGTTCTTCGATGCTTCTGTTATTTGGGGCCTAGTTGGCCCCCGCAGAATCTTTGGAAATCTTGGTGAATATATGAATGTCAATTGGTTCTTCCTTGGTGGAGCCATTGCCCCTGCTCTTGTTAAGCTTGCACATTGGGCTTTCCCAAAACACAACTGGATTCGTTTCATCAACATGCCTATCTTGTTGGGTGCCACATCCATGATGCCCCCAGCCAGTGCCGTAAACTTTACCAGTTGGATCCTTGTTGGGTTTCTTTTTGGTTTTGTTGTCTACAGGTACCGGCCAGATGTGTGGTCGCGCTATAATTATGTCCTTTCTGGTGGTCTTGATGCTGGAACTGCTTTTGTTACAATATTGATGTTCCTTACCCTTCAGTCCCGTAACATTGGTCTTGACTGGTGGGGGAACAGGGGAGAGGGCTGCCCGTTGGCTGCTTGCCCTACTGCCAAGGGGGTTGTAGTTGATGGCTGCCCTGTTTTCTGACCCAAAAAAGAAACTTCATATTTTAGTTCTTTTAGAAGTAGCATTATTTTCTTTTCGGTAATCTGTAAATAGTTTATCAGGGATTCTTTTCTAATCACCGTTTATTAGAGATTTTTGGTTATTATATAGCTTTGCCATTCTGATTTCAATAGTTTATTTATGTGTTTAGCGTTCGCAAAGGAATTCATCTCTTCTTCCCATAGTTGAGTGTTGAATCTTAGTTTAGTTGGAATATACGACATAATATTCAGAGTAACCAAATTACATTATGGGACCATGAATTTAATAACACACTTTAGGGATCAATCAAGAATGAGATTTACATTACAGCGAGTAACAAGTTTAACATGTTGTATAACATCATCAATCAAAAATAAGAAGACTGTGTACCAAGCACACCCAACTGAGCAAGTAGCTTGGCAGCCAGAGATTTCATGTCACTATTTTTCTTCTGAGTAATGTCCACCAATGCCATGTGGGCTGAAGCTCCATATTTAAGAAACAACTCATTTACTTGAAAAATCCTTTCTAAAGCCATGAGAGATTTTCCTTGCAACCTAGCAGATTGTGAACTAAGCAACTTTACAATCGGACCAACGGCCTTTGCTTCATCAAGCACCTTGCCTCCTTGCCCTTGTTCTTGGTCATCAATGAGTGTCAAAAGTGCATCAAGAGAAGCTTCGCAGGCTCCAACATCTGCCTCCCCAAGCAATCTCACAAGGGGCTCCAGAGCGTTGGCCTTTACCATGCAGAATGAAGATTCAACTGTGCAAATGCCTAGGTGTGCAGGGCAGCCAGATTCAGGTGCAGACAAGCAGCACAGGCAAAACCCAGGCTTCTTTATTGGCTTGCTCAAGCTTTTGGAACTTTGTGATAGTTGTTTAAGTGAAATAGCAGCATTTTGTTTTGTCAAAGGAGTTCCAGAAGCCAGTAGCTGCACCAGCACTGGGATAATACCAGCTTCAGCTACTTTTCTCTGCCATTCCTGATTTGTTGGAACCGTGAAACGGCATAGAGCTCCAACAGCATTCTCTATTACCTGCCTTCGATACGACGCATCTCTATTCCCATCACTTAGACAACTGCAGATGATTTGAAGTGCCTCAGCATCCAGAAGACACCCGGTCATATCTGGGTCCTTGGGAAGATTAGCAATAATACCCATTGCAGCAGCTATTTCCCCCACATCAGTGGAACTTGTTATAATCCTTAGCAGCGCCTCAATGCACCTTTGACTTACATGCTCCAAAAATGTGGTGTCATCACCGCCGTCTTCTGTCAAGCAAAAGAACAACTTCATGGCGTTTGCCCTAACAGCAGGGTTATCAGCCTCACATAACTGAACTAATACTTGGACAGCAGAGAGCTGTGAATCACATGAAACATCAAAGTGGCTGTTAGTATATACAGAACAGAATCACACGCCAAAAGAACATAAACTTTAAGACTAACAAAGACGTGAAACTACTTTAAACATCACAGTGGCAGTCATATATACAGAATCACATGAAACTACTGTCCAACAAACACGTGCAATATCATGAACACTCTTGCACCACCAATATTGTTAGGATGGTTACCTGTCTCAACTTTCGTCTGATGTCTGAACCAGAAGAAGATTGGCACATTGCATGGAAGGTTTTGAGAATGCTTCTTTGTATGTCAGGTCCTGTTAAAGATATTAGGGAAAAGAGCTTAAAAATTTCTTCTTCGGAGTCTAACAAAGAGACCTGCTCCCGAGCGGCTTCTTCAGTGGTGGTCGATATGGCAAGGTGCATAATTGTCTCAGCTACCTGTTCACGCAAGGTTGGTGATAATAAACTATGACAATACAGAAGTTCAAATAGTGGTCCAACTGCGCCTTCTCTAATCATCTGCAGGCCATTTTGTGATAATTTGGAGAGGTGAAGAAGAGCTTTGACACCCACTTTCCTCTTTTCTAAATCACTATGTGAAAGCAGTTGAAGAAGCGGTCCTAGTGCCCCATCTTTAACTATGGACAGTTTGTTGTGATCAGTCAGTTCAATTTCCGACAAAGTTCCAGCCATAAGCACTTTAACATCTTGTGGTCCTGCATCAAGTTTAAGTTGTTACTGCACACAATCTACAAGAAGGTATTATGAGATAATAATGGCACAGGATTTGATGGTGACTAAATCTTGTGCATGCTCCAAAGTATCAAAGAACCCGACTTTCAAGCATACCTGAAGAAAGAAGTTTCAACAGAGGTTTAAAATAATTCGCTTTCGCCATATGTATAACATTCTGATCAACGAAAGACAGATTTTCTAGAAGCACGTTCGCATCTCTGATGACTTCATTATCTTCATTACTTAACATTGTTACTAGGAGAAGTATGCATCCCTGAACATTTCCCATTAAATCTCGTGCAGCCCTACTTTTAGATAGTTCCAGTAACAACTGTAATGCTAACTTTCTTTCCCCAATATGGCGTGCAAGTGAGTGGACAATGGATTCCAGTGCATTATCCACTTTTATGATTCTTCCCTGTTAAAAATAAAATGAACTGTATGAATATTCGGAATTCGGAAATGCCAATTCTAGGCTCCACTAAGAAACTATTACCCCTGTGTCTTAAAATTGTATATAAGGAAGTCATGTTATCTCCATTGGTAGAAATACCATACACGATAAGCACTAGTATTAGCACTACAGTAAGAAGCTTTCCAGAGAATGCAGATTAATCTGTTTAGCTGCATCAATGATAACATAACAAGACATTGGAAGGTACCTTAGTTTCTTCACCATCTTTTGCAAGGATTGAGAGGATGGCAAGAGCATGCTTTCTTATTTCTCGGTTTTTTGAAAGAAGAAGTCTAACAAGGACAGGAATGTAGTCCTCCAGTGTCACCCATTCTCGGTGCAACTCTCTTTCCGTGCACAGATTCTGTAGCTTGTCTAACGATTGAAGCACTTCTTGCTCTTCATTTGACTGAAGTTTGGGTTTAATAGAGGTAATCATAAAGATGGTCTTCCTATCTTTCCATTCTTCAATTGATCGCTTTAGTGCTTTGTTGGGAAGTAGAACTGAAGTGTCCAAGGGAATATCAGTCACAGGACAGTGATTCTTACCTTCTGCAAACCACTTCTCTATCACACTTCTCTCAAATGTGCAATGAGAGGAAATTTCCACAGGATCCACCATGATCTCACGAGTGACGGGACAAAAAAATCGGTCAAAAGGTTCTAATGGTAGCCTACCCACAGAATTTCTCTTTTCAAAATAATCATTCTCTTTGTCCTCAGCAGATGTAGTGGCATTAGCCTTCTGAAGCAATGCTATTATCTGTTCCATATGCAAATTTTCTTCCAGGTCTTTTCTGGTATTGGTATCGTCTAATTCGCGTTTGAACTCCTCAAACTCCTTTTCCCATGCAGACTGGTCATTAGAGATCCCAAGAGCCTCAGCAATATGAACAAGCAAATTGTTTGCATAGGATCGATCAGCATTCTGCTCTTGTATTCCTAGCTCAAATTTTGCCAAAATCTCCTCCTCTTCCACAGTTGCTCGATATTCGCCATCCAACATATTCTTGAACAGCTTGCTAATCTGGCTATTTATACCAGATGAAACATCCAAAGATGCCAGTGGGATTAGACTAAGAGCTCTGCCAATCTCTTTTGTACAGCTCTCTAGGGACTCAACAATCTTCCGGCAATTGATTAAGAGATAAACTTTATTTCTTTTGCCGCAATCTAGAGCTAGCTGCTTAGCAACATCAACCTCTCGGTTGAGAATCTTCAGAGCATTGGTTAAGCTTTCTGAACACTCAATGTTTTGCTTTGACAACTCTTTCAAAATAGAAGAGGTCTTCTCCAAGTACCTTGAGAATACTTTGAAATTTTCTTTCTGAATGAGGACTTCCTTGGCTGCATGTATAGTATCAGACATGGCAAGGAATGTCTCAGAGAGTAATTCAGACACTGGAACCAAGGACGCACTAACAACAATATCCTTCGCCATCTCTGTATGAGAGAAGATAGACCCTCAGCTCTGACTGGCCAAATTTCAATTTTCAACCACAAAGGGGAAGAACCCTCATCACTTTGCTGGCAACTGCAGTCTGCATCTGAAAACCAGCATTGACATCATATTGGTTTTTAATACAACTACCATTTTTTGTTTGTTACAAAAGTAGATTTCTTTCTCTCTTTCTTTTTTTCTCCCTTGGAGAAAGGAACCAAAAATGTGTTCTTTTTAATATAGAAAAAAGTATACCAAGAACATAGCAGCAACAAGATAGTGATCCTCATATTCAACATTAATTTCTATTTATAAATTACATAATCCAACATAGTAAGCCAAAGAAACCCAGGAAGATATACTTCATTAGCTTCATATAAAAAAAATTGAGTTTCTTCTATCGTCCTTAGTTGTTTCATGGCAGTCAACCCAAGTATACCATGCATCTTTTTTTACAGCTTATGAACTCAATCGTTCACATTGAGAGCAATGACAGCTTCAAAAACTGGTCAATCCCATTACAGACAAGATGATTGAGCTTGAAATACTTACTGAATTTTAACTAAACTGATGTGCTCATGAGTCATGTTATGCTCCAATTAGTAGTTGAGACAATACAGCCCTGTATGCAAAGTTCCATTTTCTTTTTCTGTTTCCTCACTTTCTCAACAACCAAACAGAAATAACAATGGTTCTCAATCAAATGAAAAGAAAAATAAAAGATAGAGAGATGGAGAGATGACCTGAAATCATGAGTCAACAAATGTCTATATACCTTGGTTGGTTGATATTCCAGATAACAAGCAAAGCCAAACCAGAAAAACACAATGCTTTCAAGAGCTTTTGTTACGATGCAATTCTCTCTCACTTTCATGGAGTCTTTCCTTGAACCCAGAATACGAAAGAACGACTTCTATAATTAGTTAATTAATTTTTTAATATTTTTCCTTTTAGACTGCTTAATGTTTTCCAAGCAGCTTAACGTCGAGCTGGACATGATAGCTGACGACCAAGTCAACGCTGTTTACTCTTAAGTGCTCTGCCTCAACATGGTCAATCATATGTGCCTAGGAGGAGGAGGGCTATACAGATTTTGCCACGTCATCGTGATCGTAGTTTCCACTTCACCTTGGTGCCTACGTTGCGGATTTTGGGTCGCTAGTGTAAATAAATGCGGTAGACTTGTGGTCCATTGGATTGCGCGTCTTATGTTTTTGATAGTATCCTACATAATCTCTTTAATTTCTGATTTTTTTTTTTTTGGTTTGAACCACGAGGTGGTCCTGGATGGGCCCCAACTATGGGTGGCACCTTTAAGCCTTAACCACAACCCAGACTAATCCCCGCTCACACCGGGTCGGCCCGTAAGGGGTAAAGTGCTGGCCAAAGTGGTTAATTTCTGATTTTTTGACCACAAAGAAAAGTAAGAAGAGAAAAAGAATACTCTTCCTGAAACTTCTTCGAACTTTAATGAGTGGTTAAAATACAATTAGAAAAAAATCATAAGGTGTGGTGCGGTTGATAAACTGTCACTTCCAGTTGGCGAGTTACTTGTTGTCTCAATATCATGAGTTCGAAACCTGTTAGAAGCACTTTGTAGTCAAGAACAAGCCGAACCCTGTGCGGAGATTAATCCCACCTTTCAGAAATAAGGACACCTTGTGATATTTACAATTAAAAAAAAAACAATTAGAAAGGAAAACCTTTTTGAATTCGTAGTTCGTAGAGCAGACATGACCATCAATACACACAAGTGAGTGACGCTAACATAATTCAACTTCTTTTAGTGAGTTTGCGCAATTCAATAAGAGAAACTCACATGATTCGATTTGGATTGCACTATCATCTTAGTCCAATGGGCTTTTGCTAATTTAAGATTTTGAAATGGGCCAGCTGACTTAATTTTCCTTGTTCAGAAGATTGTGGTAAATAGTAATGCATTGTTTTTCAGTTTGTTTTCCTCTGAATGTCGTGGAACTTTCCTGGCCGAAAAGAGATGGAAGAAAATAATTCATTTGAAGTTTGCCGTCTACGAGAAAAGTAGTTAGTTTGACTGAAAGCTTGCAACGCTGACAAGCGGAACTGCTAGTTGCTCTTGCAAGGTAAGACGTAGATTAATATATAAAAAACGCAACAGCTTGGGAAGCTGAATTGATTATTGTTATAATAAAAACAGTGGCGGATCTATGATTTAAAAGTCAGGTAGGCAAAACTTACCTTAAAAACTCGACGGTACGAGTGAATTTTATTGATAAAAATAAAAAGATACACCTAGTCAGGGAGAAGATAATGAGCCTTATCCTCAAATATGCATATCTATACATAAATAAAAGTATAACAAAAAAAACAATAAGTAAATGCAATGCAACACAAAAACTAAACTATTTTAATCTAAAATTGTACCCTACGAGGCTTAGAAATCTTAAATTCTTCAATTATCTCTTCATTATCAATACTATTAGCAAACTCTCTTTCAATGTGGAGAATCATGCAATCAGCAAGGAATTCATCAGTTATGGTGCTTCGAAGTCTATTCTTAATAATTCTCATACATGAAAAAACTTGTTCTGTTGTTGCTGTAGAAACAAGAAGAGTCAATACCAACTAAATCAATTTGTAAAGCAAATGGTAGTTTTCTGCCAAAGTTGTTTCCACCAATTGTTGACATAACTGAGGAAGAGTGGTGAGGTCCTTAAAGCAGGGAAGGCGATGCATATCATTTTGAAAATACCTCAACTCAATTTCCAAACCTTTTAAGTCACTTGGACTGAAATCAGCAGAATAGAATTTCTCAGCAAGTTTACATAGATGCTCAATATTGAATGATTTGAAGAAATTACGAGGATCCAATGCTGAGCTAAGAATAAGAAGTTTAACTGTTTGCTCTGGAAATCTATCATTTAACTCCTTCAACATGCAATCTATCACATCATTAAATACATCAATGCGATAGTAATGTTCAACTGTAATAAAATTTTTTTGTTGACAAGAACGACGTGTGCCCATCATATAACGATAACTCATATCAAGAACATCAATACTATGTTGTTCACAAAAGTATACCACACTCATGAATAAATCATCCCAGCCATGTGCTCTCATATCTTAGAACTGTGATTTTGTGTTTTCAACAAAGTTTAAAACACTTACAATATCTTGAGTTTTTTTTTTTGAAACACTTGATAGAGAAAGTTGGTCAATCCCATAATTTTATCCATCAAAAGCAATGCAAACACAAACTCAAAAGACATCATAGCAATATAGTTATTCTCTGCATCACCACGAAATTGTTGGTTAGGTCCATGTTCATTGATTTCCTGAAGAAGTATTTTAGTCTCTTTAAATAAACTCATTAAACTTGTAATAGAGGCAAAGTGAGATCCCCAACAAGTGGCTCCAGCTCGTTTCAAACTACGACCTTGATTAAGTCCTCTACCTGTCTCAAGTTCTCCAGAATCCAACAACTCTTTATTTTAGGAATAACCCAATAGAAGAAGATAATTAAAGAGAAGAGATTAAGAAGAATACTTGTTTCATTGTATATGAGAAGAGAAGATAAGAGGCTGTCCAGTGTCCACGATTGCACATCACAGCTAAGACTTGCGTTGAGAAGAAGCTCTCCCGACTCTGTCTGGAATTGCACTGCACAGCCACTATTTGGCTGCTTAAGTTATATTATTTCTTTTATTAAAGTTTGACTGGGCAATTCATAACATGGACTAGCTGGTTATAATTTTTTTTCTTCAGTTTTTTAAAGTTTGAGTGGGCTTGTGGGTCTTATATGTATTGGGTAGGCAAGAGTATATACCAACACATGGAATGGATATCAATTACATAGCTTATATATATGTTTTTTTTTTAGTGAAATATTTTTGAGTAGGCGGTAGCCTACCCTGCCCTGGCTTAAGATCCGCCCCTGAATAGGAACATGAACTATTCTGTCAGCTGCCCTTAATTCTTCAGCTATTATATCTGTTAAAGATCAGCTATAAATAATGAAATAAACATTCAAAATCTCTAACAGGGAAGGGATGAAGAAGAAAGAAAAACACAAGGATGTGATTGCATGAAATGAAAGTGAATAATTTTGACTTTCTGCAACTGCAAGCACATATATAATTTTTGAAGGGGTGTCAGTTCACCGGTTCGATCGAGACGATACCTTAAATATTTTTTTGCTAATAAAGAAATTCAAGGGCGCATGAATTCCGATCTACTTAACTTAGGTATAAAATAACAAGCTTGTTTAAAGAAAATAATAATAATACATGCATGATGCCAGCAGCAAGCTCCAAACCCAGCCAAGGGCGGCTAAATGGGGAATTATTATAGTTGGATAACGCATGTTTTCTCTGTTACTTTTAGGTCCGTCTGGTCGGGCCAATGACCTCTCTGCTACATGGTCAAAATTATACTTTACTGGGCACATAGAAAATGAATCCCATCAATCATATATCAGAACCACCCAGTCTGATATATATAATATACTCTAGGACTATTTTATAGGTGAAGAGTCTAAAACTTTGTATTCTGTACGAGGTTGCTTGCCATTGCCCAACTTTATGCAAAAGGTAAAGGATTTGTTGATCAATACGGACAGCTAGGTAAGTTGATCGAAGAAAGAAACTAAGGAAAATATGTTAGTTTCTATTCTGGTATGCAAGTGAATGGTTAGAAGCAAGTGTTCGCATCGGAATCATAGCATAGCAACTCTTGACTAGGGTGAAATAAACTGATGAGATCCAGTAAAGGAGTGGAAGAGGTACGTGTGCGCTCTGTGAATGTATAGCCAATGAATAATGCGCTTACTTTTATAAATAAATAAAAACAAACCGACACGGCAATCATTATGTACAGCCAGCACATTAACAAATCTTAGGCAGATGAGATGAGTACTTTGAAAAGCAAATGATATAATATGTGTGGATATGAAATCATGGAGGAGAGATGATGATCATAAAAATAAAATAATAAATACCCAATTTGAGTTTGGCAGCAAAGAAGATCATCATCATCACCATCATAAATTCCCCATTTGAGAGATCTGCAATTTCCACATTCCCACAAAAACCAGACACGCACATATATGCATAGTAAACATATACATATATAAAGACATGAAAGAAAGAAAGAAAGAATAGGTACTCACGAGCACGACGAAGCCTTGAGCCTTGGTGATGGTGTGCCCTTGGCCTTGCTTTGATAAATTGAAAAGGGCAGGCTAGCTAGCTAGGTAAATAGGCAAAGCTATACTGTACATGCAAACAAGCATACAAGAGTGATATTGATTCGGCTCGTCATCTTTGTTTGTGATTCGTGAAGTGTGATGGATGGATGGATATATCCAAAAAGTATAAAAGATATGAACCGAACCAATATCACACCATGTCTACTTGTGCAGAAAGAAACATTAGGGCACACACATAGCCCTCAGACTTTGAGCTGCTGCGCACAGCTGCTTGAACGCTCTTGAATATACAAACATTGTAGCTTCCACCTCTATTTATAGGAAGAAGGAGAGGAGTGGAGAGGAGAGTTGAGGAAGCAATTAAAGATATTTGTGAATATTATTATAGATTAAGAACTCATTTACAAGTGACAACAAATTAATTAGGATAAGGAAAGAACATTTTTTTATGATCAAGATATAAGAATCCCACTACCAATCCAATCCCTTTCATCCTCTCTCCCTCATTAATTTATTTTATTTTACGCATAACATAATGGAGGACTAATTCTAGACGTCCTGCTCCTGCTGCACTGCAGGCACGTGATCAATGATATATATATCAAATATCGCATGCCACGACATCAAATGTCGTTTGATTTGCACGTCATGGTGACAGCTAAAACGCACCTGATGATCTGGCTGGCTAGACCATGCCGATTCCCTTGCATATAATCTTGGATGCACAT